CACATCTCCAAAGGCAAGGCAAACAAAGGCAAAAATGAGCTATTGGGACTTCATCAAGATAAAAAGCTTTTGCACAGCAAAGGAAACAGCTGACAAAACCAAAGGCAATCAACAGAATGGGAGAAGCTATTTGCAAATGGCATATCAGATAAAGGGCTAGTATCCGAAATCTATGAAGAACTTATTAAACTCAATACCCAAAGAACAAATAATCCAATCAAGAAATGGGTTGAAGACATGAACAGACATTTTTGCAAAGAAGACATCCAAATGGCCAACAGACACATGAAAGAATGTTCATCATCACTTGGCATCAGGGAAATACAAATCAAAACCACAGTGAGATACCACCTCACACCGTCAGATGGCTAAAATTAACCAGTCAGGAAACGATGTTGGAGAGGATGCAGAGAAAGGGAAACCCTCTTAGACTGTTGGTGGGTATGAAAGCTGGTTCAGCCACTCTTGAAAACAGTATGGAGATTCCTCAAAAGGTTGAAAACAGAGCTACCCTACGACCCAGCAATTGCACTACTGGGTGTTTATCCCAAAGATACAAATGTAGTGATCCTAAGAGTCACTTGCACCCCAGTGTTTATAGCAACAATGTTCACAATAGCCAAGCTATGGAAAGAGCCCAGATGTCCATTGACAGATGAATAAAGAAGATGTGGTATGTATATACAATGGAATACTACTCAGCTATCAAAAAATGAAATCTTGCCACTTGCAATGACCTGGATGGAACTAGGCGGTGTTATGCTAAGCTAAATATGTTGATCAGAGAAAAACAATTATCATATGATCTCGCTGATATGTAGAATTTAAAAAACAAGACAGAGGATCATAGGGGAAGAGAGGGAAAAATAAAACAAGACAAAATCAGAGAGGGAGACAAACCATAAGAGAGTCTTTTCTTTTCTTTTCTTTTCTTTTTTAAGATTTTTATTTATTTATTTGACAGAGAGAGACATCACAAGTAGGCAGAGAGGCAGGCAGAGAGAGGTGGAAGCAGGCTCCCCACTGAGCAGAGAGCCCGATGCAGGGCTCGATCCCAGGACCCTGAGACCATGACCCGAGCCGAAGGCAGAGGCTTAACCCACTGAGCCATCCAAATGCCCCTCCATAAGAGACTCTTAAGCATAGGAAACAAACTGAGGGTTGCTGGAGGGGAGGGCGTGGGGGATGGGGTAACTGAGTGATGGACATTAAGGAGGGTACATGATGTAATGAGCACTGGGTATTATATGAGACTGATGGATCACCTCTACCTCTGAAACAAATAATATATTGTGTTAATTGATTTTAAATAAAAATAAAAAAATTTTTAAAAATATTTCTGACCTCTTTTTGGCCATATGTGAAACTGGATTTAGTATTCCTGAATAGAGACCATTAATTTGTAGAGAAGAGTCATTAAGGAAGGGTCATTAAGGAAATTGTGTTTAGGGCACATTTCTTGAAGAACCTCAATGAGTTATTGTCCATCATTAGTCCTTGGGAAAAAGTGCAGAACTTGATGAGCATTTTCTGCATATTGGAATTGTAAATATATAAATAGACTTAAGTAGACTCACTGGGTAGTGTGACAGCTGAAATGTACATTTTATAGAGTGTGTACATTTAAAGCAGAGTTTATCAACAGTGACCCTATGACATTTTGGTCAGATGGTTTTTTTGTTGTGGGGGACTGTTTGGGATTATAGGATGCTTTGCAGTATCTCTGGCTTCTACCCACTAAATGCCAGTATCTCTACTCAGCCACAGCAATCAAAAGTTATCTTCAGACATCTCCACATGTCCCCTGGGGGGCAAAATTGGCCCATCTCCCCCACTGAGAACCACTGAGTTACACCTCAATAATCTGGGACTTCCTTTTCACTTTTCTGTATCTGTACTTTCTTGAGAAGAAGAGAATACATTAATGCAGTTTCTGGGGCAACCAAAGTAAATGCCAAAAGGCAAATGAAAGTGCCCCCCACAGACCCTCCTTCCTTGTTTTAGTCATACTGTATATCTCTAGCAAACTGGTTTCTTGACTACAAACAAAGTCAATTAGGAGAGGCAGTTAAGATAGAAGTCACTTGAACAGATCAATGGGTGATTTTTTTTGACAGAGATAAAAGGAAACAGAAGATCAGACACATGAACTTACGGTTAAGGAGTATGAGGCTGAGTGTGAACTAGAACATTACTTGAAAGTAGAGTGAAATTGGTCAGTTTCTTTTAACTCCACAGGTCACGCTCATAATGTCTGCTCTATATTACTTCTCTAACTTGGGGCCTAGGATGCATGTCCCAACTTTCCTAGTTTAGTACTCTCCAATTCCACCTTCCTGAGACAGCCAATGTTAACTACCGGCCGTTTCCTTTCACACTTTTCTCCTGCTCCTTCCGTCTACAAGTCTAACTACCCACAGCATCCCTAAAGGTCAGTAGGTACTTACTGAGTCTGTCAGTCTGTTTCATGCACATGCACACCTATATAATTTCATATAGAAGAATATTTTAAATGATTTATATATAAATAGGATTCTTTTTTATTAATTATTTTATTAACATATAATATATTATTTGCCCCAGGGGTACAGGTCTGTGAATCATCAAGCTTACACACTTCACAGCACTCACCATAGCACATACCCTCCCCAATGTCCACAACCCAACCACCCTCTCCATAACCCCCCTCCCCACAGCAACCCTCAGATTGTTTTGTGAAATTAAGAGTCTCCCTGGTTTGTCTCCCTCCTGATCCCATCTTATTTTATTTTTTTCCTTCCCAACTCCCCAGACCCCTCACTCTGCCTCTCAAATTCCTCACATCCGAGAGATTATATGATATTTGTCTTTCTCTGATTGACTTATTTCACTCAGCACAATACCCTCTAGTTCCATCCACGTCGTTGCAAATGGCAAGATTTCATTTCTTTTGATGGCTGCATAGTATTCCATTGTGTATATATACTACCTCTTTATCCATTCATCTGTTGATGGATATCTACATTCTTTTTTTAATTTTTAATTTTTTTAAAGATTTTATTTATTTATTTGACAGAGGGAGAGAGAGATCACAAGTAGGCAGAGAGGCAGACGGGCGGGGGGGGAAGCAGGCTCCCTGCTGAGCAGAGAGCCCAATGCGGGGCTCGATCCCAGGACCCTGAGATCATGACCTGAGCTGAAGGCAGAGGCTTAACCCACTGAGCCACCCAGGCACCCCTACGTTCTTTTTTAAAAAATTTTTTAAAATTAACATATAATGTATTATTAGCCCCAGGGGTACAGGTCTGTGAATTGCCAGGTTTACATACTTCACAGCACTCACCATAGCACATACCTTCCCCAATGTTCATAACCCAACCACCCTCTCCCTATCCCCCTCCCCCCCAGAAACCCTCAGTTTGTTTTGTGAGATTAAGAGTCTCTTATGGTTTGTCTTCCTCCCTATCCCACCTTGTTTCATTTATTCTTTTCCTACCCTCCAAACCCTCCATGTTGCCTCTCAACTTCCTCATATCAGGGAGATCATATGATAATTGTTTTTCTCTGATTGACTTATTTTGCTAAGCATAATACCCTCTAGTTCCATCCATGTCGTTGCAAATGGCAAGATTTCCTTTCTTTTGATGGCTGCATAGTATTCCATTGTATATATATACCACCTCTTCTTTATCCATTCATCTGTTGATGGACATCTAGGTTCTTTCCATAGTTTGGCTATCGTGGACATTGCTGCTGTAAACATTGGTGTGCACATGCCCCTTCGGATCACTACATTTGTATCTTTAGAGTATATACCCAGTAGTGTGATTGCTGGGTTGGTAGGGTAGCTCTATTTTAAGCTTTTTGAGGAAAAATAGGATTCTTTTTATAACCTCAGTCTTCTCTGTTTTTTCTTTTTTGTGCATCTGCTCCTTCTCCAGTAACTAATTTAACAAGTATGTTAAACTACATTTAATGGAGTATATGTGTTTATTTCTGTACTTTTCCTCATGCTCATAGAATCATATCTATATTGGTATTGAACATCTGTCTACCTACATACCCACCTTAGACAGATATAGATAAATACGTGTACACATGACTTTTTGTCATTGTTTGTTTTATAAAAAATGGGACTATTTTTTTCTGCATTGTATTCTTCACATTTAACAGCTACTTCTTGGAAGTCTCTCCAAGTCGGTTTTTATAGCTCTAACTCATTATTTCTAATGACTGCTTGATGTGATCTGACTCTGCCCTAATTTGTTCAGCATTCTTATATCGATGGACATTTACCTTGCTCACATTTTAAAGGGCTACAGTTAATATTCTTATTTACATAATATTAGGTCTTAAAAACTCATTTTCAAATAATAGATTCCTAGTAGTGGGATCGCTGGTTGAATTGAAATTTTCAATAGATATTGCCAGATTGCTCAAACCATAACGGTTCATTTCCACTAATACCTTAAGAGAGTGCCTTTTTTTTTTTTTGGTCCACTTTTTCAGTTGGTTTAATTGCCTTCTTTTTTGTTGATTTGCAAGAAGTTTCATGTATTAGAAAAAGTAACCATTTATCTTTATTAAAATACATTTTTAAAAATCTATCATTTGTTTCTTGACTTTACCACCATTCTTTCCTTTTATAACTTGTGGATTAAGACACTGTACCTTACAGTCTAGATTTTCTTCTTATTCTTTTTTGTGTATAAGATTTAATATAATATAAGATATATTATGATATATATTATATTATAATATAACATAATATAATATAATATAATATATAATATAAGATTTAGTTATATTTTCTTCCCTGTGGAGACTGACTTGTGCCTCTACCACTTATTAAATGCATTCCTTTTCCCCATAGAATTGAAATATCACATTTGCTATATATTAAGTTTTTTCCCCTATTTGTTAATTTTCACTAACTGAATATTAACTTGGCCTTTGTTGACTGAGACTGTGTTATGGCTCATCCCAGTGATAGATGCTTTTCTTTTTTCTTCTTGGGGAAGCACGGATTGACAGTACTTCACCTTGCAGCCTGGTCTGGAAGTCTCGAGATCACGCTCATGCTCATTCGAGCTGGAGCAGACCAAAGGGCCAAGAATGAGGTAGGTTTGTAGGCCACACCAGGACATAGTTCGCACTGCCCCAGTGTGGGATGGGGAAGTCCTAAGATCACTGTGCAATTATGTCCCTCACCTTGGCTCACCTTGGCTCTCTTCAGGATGGTATGAATGCCCTCCACTTTGCAGCTCAGAGCAATAATGTACGCATTGTGGAGTACCTCATTCAAGATCTGCACTTGAAGGACCTGGACCAGCCTGATGAGGTATATCTGCTCTAGTAGTACAGGTCCTATGCATACCCCCACCAAATTCCTCTTTCTTCCCTCTCCTGCTGGAGCTGCCAAAGCAGCCAGCACAGACAGACCTGGCCCTGTAGCTAGCTCCTCCATCACTCTGAGACGGCAAAACAGATGAGAAGTGTTGGTGGTGGCCCTGGCATCTCATGTGAGAAGGGCAGGAAGCATTGAGCAAGTATCCAGATTCTTTTTTCCCTCTCTGTTCCCTAATCCTGGCTTATTGTGGACAGTATCCTCCCTGTTTTGTATTCAGAATGTATGTTTGCATTTTACTCCATTATGTGTGGCCTTTTGGGAGTGTATTTGATCCAAGACTATGCAGTAATGGGTCATGGAATATAATGCTTGATCCCAGGACTCCAGAATCATGACCTGAGCTGAAGGCAGATGCTTAATGACTGAGCCACCCAGGCTTCCCTCTTTTTCTTTTCATAGGGAGATATATACTAATAATAGCCACCACCTACTGAGTATTTATTAGTGTGCTAGGTATAGAGGAACGCTATTTACATACATTATTTCACTGAGAGGTCTAGGGCCTAGTGTATATGGATGCTTAAATCATTGCTGAATGAATGAATGATCTTGTTAATTCCCATAATCATATATAGAAAGATTTTGCTTATTTTTAAAGGTGATGAAATTGAGGCTCACAGAACCCCAGTACCTGGTCTAGTGTCCCAAAACTGGAAAGTGAAAGCTAGGATTTGAATTCAGGTCTAGCTGACCCCAGTCACCGTGCTATCCTGCTGTCCTGTCTCCCTTCTCAGATGACAGTGGGCATCCCCTATGTGCCAGGGACTTTTTCCTGGAATATCTTCTTCTAGGCTTTTCTCACAGGGGAGCATACCCTGTGAGGTTGACATTTGGATTTCAAATGGGACCTCCTTTTCACTGTACCTAGAACATTATTCTCCATTAAAGTCTCTCCAGAAATTAAGCAGTAATATCTCACTTTGCCTCTTGTAAAAAATTTTCACATTCTTTTCTGACCTTAGTCTTTTTTTTTTTTTAAGATTTTATTTATTTATTTGACAGACGGAGATCACAAGCAGGCAGAGAAGCAGGCAGAGAGAGAGGGGGAAGCAGGCTCCCTGTTGAGCAGAGAGCCCAATGTGGGGCTTGATCCCAGAACCCTGGGATCATGACCTGAGCCGAAGGCAGAGGCTTTAACCCACTGAGCCACCCAGGCGCCCCTGAACTTAGTCTTTTTAAAAAAGATTTTATTTATTGACAGAAAGAGAGAGAGGGGACAAACAGGGGTAGCGCGGCAGACAGAAGGAGAAGCAGACTCTTTGCTGAGCAGAGAGCCCTATGTGGGGCTCCATTCCAGGACCTGGAGATCATGACCGGAGCTGAAGGCAGATGCTTAAGAGACTGAACCACCCAGGTGCCCCTGACCTTAGTCTTAGTAACAATAGCAACAATAATAATAACAACTCTTTTCTTCAAATGAAGTCTATAAATTTGTTTTACTTCCTCAGAGTATGACTGAGCAACTGTACATTTACAACTTGGAGGAGACAGACTTGGGCTGTGGTATGGGCATATATTAGCTATGAGTTTCAGGCAAGTTTTCCAGCTGGTCAAAGCTACAGTGTGTAAAAGGGATGATTGGGAAGGGGGACTTCCAAATAATTTTATTTTATTTTATTTTATTTTTCATAAACATATAATATCTTTTTATCCCCAGGGGTACAGGTCTGTGAATCGCCAGGTTTACACACTTCACAGCACTCACCATAGCACATACCCTCCCCAATGTCCATAATCCCACCCCTCCAAATAATTTTTTATCAGCAATACCTCTATGATTTCATATAGATGATTGATATTTCCTTAATTTTATGTAAAAAAGGCCTCTGCCATTGAATTTCATTATAAGCCATTCCACCACCCCTTTCCAGTCAGACACTACCCCTAAGTGGTTCCCATGTAGCAATACTGAAACAGCCACTGTTGGGATGTTTTAATGAGTTAATGATTGTAAAGCACTTAGGCAAAGAGCCTGATATGTGGTAAGTGCTCACTAAATGGTAGTTATTATAACAATTATTATAGGATAAAATACACTGTCTGATATCCTCAAACTGATAATCATAGTCAAATAGCACCCAGTGACACAGGAAGTTAGATCATTCTGGTTTGATTGATGTTAAGTAGGGATGTGAATGAATTCCACTCAGTTCAATTTAGCAGATGTTTGTTGAGGGCATATTATCTAGGAGACACATGACAGTCTTTCCTTTCAGTGGGCTCTGGCTGATTTCACAGGAGCCAACATGTGTGGGGAGGATCACGAGGCTGAAGGGACTCAAAACCAAAGCAGGGTTCTGAGAAGTCTTGGCCATGCCTGCAGCTTCTGGCCAGCAACCTTCTTGGCTACCATCTCTTTAACTGGCTCTGGAGTTGTCCTGTTCCCACCCCTCTTCTTCCTCCCCTGTCTGTTGGGAAAAAGGCGGAGGAGCCCTGGCAGCAGACTGTGCAGGCATGTCCAGCTGGGAGATGTTAAAATTAAGATGGATTCAGAGACATATGAGGAATGAGCAAATAATGAGTCCCCTGGCTCATTTAGTGAGAGAAGAATCTCTGAGTCCAATTTTAGTTCTGTAAGAAACCTAGATGGATCAATGGAATAGACAAAGTCTACTCTTTTTCTGAGATCTGTGAGTGGGTCAGGGATGTTGGCAAAACCCAGTAGGACCTGGGATCAGGAGCTCAGGTGTATTAATTCATCATTAGATTTTTCTGTGTTTGCTTAAAAGTATTGTGGAACTCACTGAATGCATTTGATAGAAATGACTGCTTTGCCTTCACAGCTGACCCTCTCGCATACTTTCTTATCTGCAGAAAGTGACTGAGAGCCTGCTAACCTGACCAGCATTGGTAAAATTCTCTTTAGCCCAGAGGGGACTTCAAAAGCTAGCAAGGAAAGCCTTGCGAGGAGGAGGTCTTTATAAATAAAAGAGATTTAACTACGCGTAGGAGAGTGTGGGTGGGGGTGGGAGAGATGGAAGACACTGGAAGATATTTTGAAGTTTCTTCCAGCTCCATGGCCTCTCCAGGGGAGAGAGATTAGAGCAGCCAAGAGAAGTTATTAGTAAAGCAGTGTAGATGTTTTGAGTCTACATGCAAACTTCCATCTAGTGGTCAAAAATAAGTACTCACAATGTTTAGGGTGGAGCAGGGGCAGAGAAAGGAATGGCCTTAGAGTATATGAATACTTGTTGAATATTTATAGCGTTTGGTGGTACACTGTTAGGTTGGTTTCAGCTGTAGACTTAACGGAACTTCCACTGGTTCAAAGGAATCTTTATAGGGAGTCTTTAGAGATCAAAATGCAAAGAAGCTTCCCTTTTTGGAGGATTGGGAATAATGAGCATGAGGGGATTTGGGAAGGCATACCTTCTTACATGGACCTGAGGCCAGTATTTAAGGGCTCCCATGTGCAAGGGGAGAACTCACTCCACACTCTATAGTTCTGTGACTGCATATTTAACACATTGCTCCTTTAGCACTTTTTTTAAAAAACAGATTTTATTTATTTATTTGAGAGAAAGAGACAGCCTGAGAGAGAGAGAACATAAGCCGGGGGAGGGCGGAGGTAGGTAGTGGTGGGCAGAGGGAGAAGGAGAAGCAGGATGTGGGACTCAATCCCAGGACCTTGAGATCATGACTTGAGCCAAAGGCAGACACTTATCCGACTGAGCCACTCAGGCACTCCTCCTTCAACACTTTTTAATTCATGGTAACATTCTTTTTTCCCTCTCAAATCTCTAATTATTAAGCAAACTGCTGGTTTTCCTCTTATGACTGGGTTCTGGTTGTGGGTCCCAAGGTAAGGGGAAATGTTGTGGGGGATAGACCTGCACATAGGGCACTAGGGGACTTTGTGCTGGGTTCTCCCTGGCCTCCTCTCAGAGGCTCTCCTCTCTCCATCTCTGGGATCATTGTGGGAAAGGATGGTCAGTTTGATCTCTGGGTGGCCATTTAAAGGTTGTTTATGAAATTTTTGCTACATGTGTTAACTGAACCCTGCTAATAAACTGAAAAATAATTTCTAATAAGCAACGAAACCTCTCAGACTTATTCACATGCAAACAACTTAAATGCATTGAATTAAAACATGTTAGGTTAAATAGACATTGTGTTAATCAAGGAAAAAGGCAACAGGAATTCTGGCCCCTCCTTATTTTCATTAATTAGGAAAGGGAATCAGGATCCTGAGCTGGGAAGGCATTGTGGTTTCTTTGAGACTGGAGCTCTGATGCCAGGTTCCACTGTCCTGGCTGGAAGGTCTCCCCGCCTTGCAGGTGAGAATCAGTCCTAGGGGACTGTGCTGGATAGAGGCCAACATGAACAGCATTTTAGAAGAGTTTGGTGGTTAAAAAAGGAAATAAGACATGAAAAGAAACTATTTTTTAAAATTATTTTTAGAGTTCTTGTTATTTTTCCTAATTATATGTGATAAGATAGGAGAAAGTTTTATAGCTCATTTTGCTCTCACTTCATCTTTATGTTGCCTTCTGGTATGTTTCTAAGGTATAGATTTCTTTAAATGCCCTTATTTTGTGTAATTTGGCTATCATATTTTCTTCTTGATGGTAATATTTTTAAAAGGCATCAGAAGTTTAAAGTAATAGCTGTGTTCTTGGTGAGGAAAAACATTTCATCTGTGATAATCTTCCATTTCTTAACCACACTGGGCTTTCTTTGGGGGAGGGTCCTCTGTTACCTAGTTTAGCCACGCAGAAATTTAGGTCTTTGTAGCAGCTAAGGGTAAGAGTAAGCCATTTTATTTAATTTTTAAAAAGATTTTATTTATTTATTTGAGAGATACAGCGTGCACAAGGGTAGGAGCAGGGGGAGGGTCAGAGGGAGAAGCAGGGCTTGATCCCAGGACCCTGGAATCAAGACCCAAGTGAGCCCAAGGCAGATCTTTAACCAACTGAAACACCCAGGTGCCCCAAGAGTGAAGCCATTTTAAAGTTGAATAGATCCCTGGTACTTCTAGTAATATTTGTCCCCAAACTGCTAACTATGTATTAGACTGCTTTCTGTTATGAGTGCTAAAAATCCAGTTTAATCTAGATTAAGCAATAGAGGTAATTTACTTATTGCGAACTAAAGAGTTTGAGGGTTTATCTGATGGTTTCTGGCTTCTACCAGTTTCAAGATATTCTTATGGAGATTCTTTTTTAAAAAAGATTTTATTTATTTATTTGAGAGAGAGAGCATGCATGTGTTCATGAGTGGGGGGAAGGGCAGAGAAAGAAAGAATCTCAAGCAGACTCCCTGTGGAGTACTGTACCCAACACGGGGCTTGATCTCATGACCGACCTAGAGATCATGACCTGAGTTGAAACCAAGTCAGACCTTAACTGACTGAGCCACCCAGGAGCCACTCTTATGGATATTCTTATAGATTTTGATTCATAAGAAAGAACATTCCTCTCATCAAATGTTCATGTTCTGAATCTCAGGAACAACTCTGTTTGGCCTGCTTGAATCATCTGCCCAATCCTGAACCAATCACTGTGACCAGCCTGGGTTAAGTGGTCACTTCATGGGGGCATTTAAAGCCTGGCAGTTGACAGCACTAAATAGATAAATGGCAGAGTCTATGTGTGTATAATTGGGAAAGTTCTCTACAGGAAAATGAAGCTGCTGTTATTAGAAGAAAAGAACAGAGATACAAAAGCAGCAGATGTCTACTCTAGGACACAACCCCCTCATGTATTGTTTATGGTCTCTGTGGGTAAAGAGCCAACAAAACCCCTTTTGCTTCTGCGTGAGAATTTAAACTTTGGTTAGCTGTCTGGCCCTGTGTCACTGCAAATAAGATAAGTATTGCTTATGATAAAAGGGACCCCTAATTAGCAAATAGCATTTGGACTTGGAGGAACTACCGATGACCTATGAACCCCAGATGGGGGCTCCATACTGTGGACTTCTCTGAGGGTAGTAACTTTTGTAATGAATTGGGCATGTCCCTTGAGGGGACCTGGAAGCTATGCTCGAGGAGTTGTTACAGGGGATATCTGTTCCTGTAGGGCACCAGCCTTCTAAGCCAAGGTGGCTCTAGTACCTGCTCAGTGTGGATTTGTCACCTTGCAACTGAGCTGTCCTCTGGGGCCTCAAAGCCAACAGTTGGACAGCTGTGTGGGACATGGTATGAAGAGGAAGAGCTGACACTGGCAAGCTTTGGTTTGTGTCCTACATCTTGAGAGTAGACTGGTATCAGGTGTGGCCTTTGATAATCCTGTGATTCTGAAATGTTTAGTTGAAGCCAAAGAGACCCTCTGGTGGGCATTAAAGTCATTCTAATGATCCTTTGAGGTAGGGGGGGTGGTTTAAGGAAGCCCTGCTAGTGACAGGCGACAGAAGCTCAATTCCAACTACTTAAAGAAAAAAAAAATGGACTTGATTGACTCACTCACACATGTTGTGCACATGTAACTTCAGGTATGTCTGATTCCAGCAGCGCCTATGCTGTTAGCAGGGCTCTTGTCTCTTTTTCTGTTTTTCGTCTGTGCTGGCTTCATTCTTAGGCAGGTTCTCCTTGTCAGGTGACAAAGAGGGCCGATGATGGCTTAGCCGATGACTCTAGACTAGAGACAGATAGAATGTGCCAGAAAAATATCCCACAGTTGACTCTGAGTGGTCTCGCCAGGCATGTGACCATCCCTGACCCAAACAGTGTGACTAAGGGATAGATGGTGGAAGAAGTAGGAGCCTTGGATTAACAGTTCTATAAAAACAGGGCATAGGCTCCCAGTGGGAAAGATGGTGGACAGGAAATGTCACCACCGTTGCTCTTTTCTCCTGTTCTAGTGCTTTCGTGAATTTAAAAGGCCTTCTTCCTCCATTTCTTGTCACCTCCCTCCCCATCCACAAATACACACTCATGCTGAGTTATATACTCCCATATATCACCAGCACTCAGTTACTGTATTTCATTTTAATTACTTGCTCATGTCTTTATCTTCCCTGTTGGACTCTGAGCTTCTTGAGGATGGGGCAGTGTATTTTTCAACTTGGCCACTCTGTTGCTGAGCACAATATCTGGCATATTCCTGGATGCTCAATAATTGTGGAATAAATAAGTAAATAACTTATAAGGATATGTGACTAAATGTTTTCATGTAGTATATAATTCTCTCTCACATCACACATCCTTTCTTGTGATTTTTTAAAATATGAACCTTTATCCATTGTCACCATTTGCAGATATTTGTATAAGCCAGACACAATAATTTTTGGTCTGTCATTTCCAAAATGTTGTTCAGATCTCAAGACTAAATTCTGTTTTTCAATTAGGTGTCTAATAACTTGCAGAAAATCAGAAAACTGGGGGTCCAAGCAATCTGGTTTTTTTTGTTTATTTGTTTTGTGTGTGTGTGTCTGTGTGTGTGTGTGCTTCCTTAGTGAATTCATGAGAATGAGGATGAAAGCCAAGCCTTCTGGGGTTGAAGATTGGGGATGTAGACCTCATTGGTAAACATGTTTGGCTCAAGAATAGTGAATTAGGTGAACTTTTTGGTACTACTTTGTTTTCTCCAGCTTCTATAAATGCATGAATACAGAGTTCCATAGGACGAATCCTTATAGACATTTTTTTTGTTGCCATTATTATTTCAGCATTTTTCCTTCCCTTTTCCCCCAATTAATGGGGAATCATGTGCTCTTCGTCTCAACTTAACAGTCTCTATGATCTTTTCATAACCCTGCATTAGCAGGGGATCAGATAACAAATCTCAGGTTTAGAAATCTTCTTACAAAGAGGCTTGCATCTTGTTTCCCACATTTCAAACATCTTACTAAGCTTTTGGTTAATAACACACCAAGCCAATTTGTGAGTGTTTTCTTTAATTGAAAAAAAATATTTCGGCCTCCATCTTGCTGCCCCAACTTCCTTTTCCTTCTTTTAAATATCTGGAATTAAAGGGGCACCTGGTGGCTCAGTCGGTTAAATGCCTGACTCTTGGTTTTGGCTCAGGTCATGATGTCAGGGTTGTGAGACTCAGCCCCATGTTGAACCCTGCCGTGAGCCTTGAGTAGGACTCCATGCTCAGCACACAGTCTGCTTGACATTGTCTCTCCCTCTCCCTCCCCCTCTACCCTTCCCCCCTCTCATGTCTCTGTGTGTGTGTGCATGTGTGTGTGTGTGCTTTCTCGCTCAGATAAATAAATAGCATTTTTAGCATTTTTTTTTAAGATTTTATTTGTTTATTTGACAGACACAACAAGAGAGGGAACACAAGCAGGGAGGATGGAAGAGAGAGATACAGGCCTCCTGCTGAGCAGGGAGCCTGACATGGGGCTCGATCCCAGGACACTGGGATCACTACCTGAGCTGAAGGCAGACGCTTAACAACTGAGCCACCCAAACATTTTTTTGTTTGGTGCTTTGCATATTTTTATCAGTAAGGCAAGGCTTAGGGTGTTATGTGCAGGTACCTGAGACAGGTCACCTAATTGCTTCTCTTTGTTAAGAGTTGAGCAACAGAACTATTCAATAAACACAGAAAGTTGGTAAAAATCCTACATTTGTATGGGAAGCTTGTTGTCTGGCTCTGAATCAGCACTTCCCCAGGTGCTTGGGAGGAACACTTCTGAACAGTACTTTTCTGTCCCCTAAAAGTGATTCTGTGCTCATGGGAAGTTCCCACAGTTTTGGGCAATGACTCAGAACTGAAGCTGGTTGGGACTTACAGGGATTGTTATCGCCTAGGAAGGGCCTAAATGCTACAACCAGAAGCACCATCTTGGCCTTCTTGTAACCATCAAAATGCCGTCCATTCTGTCAGTTGTCTTGCTTATTCAATAAATGTGTAATAAACACTGGAGGTTTGTGATTGATTTTCAGAAAGGAAGAAAACCATTTCTTTGGGCAGCTGAGAGGGGCCACACTGAAATGATAGAAAAACTTATCTTCCTTAATCTACATACTTCAGAAAAGGACAAGGTGAGTGGGACTTTTATTTCTTTGCTGAGAACAAGAGAAAGGAGAGTGACACCTGGTATCAGGTGTTCAGTTTGTTCAATTGCTGCTACAGTCAGAGTATGGAATATCCAGATGAAATGAACCTACTTTTGCAGTGGGTCAAACAGATTGCTAATTTTCACCCCATAAATGTTTGTGACATCAATAGACTACATGGATTTTTCTGCTGTTATTTCCAGTTTCCTCTTTTCTTTTCCTGACGTCTGCTGGAGATTCAGTGTCACCTCCCTGGGGAGGGAAACTGTAATGGACACCCATATCTTTCTGCATATCTTTGAATATTAAGAGGAATTGATACACACACATGGGATTGTGGGTCCAAAAGTTCTGCATGCTAACTCTTTTGGTACCTTCACATAGGTCATATGGGATTGCTTCTTCTGCTTCACTTTTTGTTAGCAAATTAACAGCAAGGATAGAACAAGAAGTATGGATGGTTTTTCCCTACTGGTTCAAACAACTATATCTTTACATTTGAAACTTTAAAAAATTGTAAATTTCACTTGACACTGTGGATAATATGACCCACATATCTGGACTGCAGCTTTAATCAAAATGAAACCTCTCAGAAGTCCCATTGCAACCCTGACCGTTGGAAGGCCATGTTCCTCAGTGCTCTGGACTCTATCATGAATTTGTCTCTTTTGCAGGAGGGGAATGCTGCCCTGCATCTTGCAGCAAAGCATGGTCACAGTCCTGTGGTCAGGGTGCTGCTAACCCAGTGGCAAGAAACAAATGAGATCAATGAGGTATGTGAAGGTGCTCATTACAGATGAACACAAGACTGGAAAGTGGAAGGCAGGGGAGGAATGGCTTTCATGGGAGGAAAACAAAGAGATTAGTGCTACAGAGTGTAAAATGTCATGCTGAAAAGTCCCTTCTTTTTTCTTTAAAGTATGCCAGCAAGTCATTTTTTTTCTTTTATGTTATGTTAATCACCATACAGTACCTCATTAGTTTTTGATGTAGTGTTCCATGATTCATTGTGTGTAACTCCCAGTGCTCCATGCAATCCATACCCTCCTGAATACCCATCACCACGCTTGTTAATCCATTCATTTATTTACCCATTACCTTAAAAATATTTAGTACGTAATTTATGCTAGGTAATGTATTTTTATTCTAGGAGCCTACAGGGTGAGAGGCGCCTGGGTGGCTCAGTGGGTTAAGCCTCCGCCTTGGGCTCAGGTCATGATTTCGGGGTCCTGGGATCGAGCCTCACATTGGGCTCTCTGCTTGGCGGGGAGCCTGCTTCCCCCTCTCTCTCTGCCTGTCTTTCTGCCTACTTGTGATCTCTCTCTCTCTCTGTCAAATAAATAAATAAAATACTTAAAAATTTTTAAAAAGAAGAAGAAGGCTACAAGGCGAGAAGGGCATGAAAAAGGTCAGAGCTGAGAGGGTCAAGGTAGAGATAAAGAAGGGCTGTGCTCCCCATGGGGAGGGCTTGGCTTTGACTTGTAGACAATAGAGACTTTGCCAAGTTCTAAGCCGCAAAGAGCGATGGGCTCCATTTTGTGTATACGCCTGTGAATGTCACAGTGGTCTAAAGGGGGCTTGGTGCCTGGAGAGCCTGGAGGTGGGGACACACAGTCAGGGGATGCTGCAAATTGCTGAATCAAGATCTATGGAGAAAACTTGCCTCCAGTGCACTCACAAGGAGCAAATAGGATGAAGTGATAGAGGGAGACAGAGGCCACAGGCTTTGTGACTCGAGTTAGAGAGAGGGAAGACTTTTTGATGCCCAGTTCACCAGTTTGGACACGTGGGAAGGTGGAGTGCCCTCCCCTGAGCAGGTGCGGAGCAGGTGAGTGAGATCAGTAATAAGGATTATGGAGGAGGTTACTCCGAGGCACCGGGAGGGTACAGGTACCTTCAGGTGGAGAGCAGTGGGGAGATGGAAACTCTCTGGGGTTCTGTGGAAGGCAGGGGGATGGGAACTGAGTGCAGTCTTGGGTGGAGAAGCTATGGCTGTGAAGGCAGATTTGTGAGTCATCTGCTCTAGATGGTCACTTTTGACCTTTGGGTCAGTGACTTCTACACTGGCTCTTGGGAAACTCAAATGAATGGAGTCCTCTTGGACTTCACAGTTTAATGTTCTGATAACTTCTAAACTTGGTACTTCTCTGAGCTATACTGTAAGAAGTAATATAGTCTTTTAACTTAAGGCACCAGTGATTGTAAAGTGTATTATTATTTTATGTAACACTAAGAAAAAAATAATGTTGCCACTTAAACCATGACACAAACAAACTTTTTTGTCCCAGAATAGTTTATATTTATTGAAAGAGTTTTTTAGACTTTTATATTAGATTTTATTATATACATAAAAAGGAACAAATAAGCAAGATAAGTTGGTTCCTAAACTTCACACTGAGCTTGATTGTCCTAAATCACTTTCTTACTCAGAGTCTCGATGTCTTTGTTTTTCTGAACAAAGTAATATCCTCTTTGCCTTCAGAAGTACTTGTGATGCAGTATTTCTTTAAGGGGTTCCCTGCTATAACTTCTGAGGTTTTCTTCCAACTCGACACCCATTCTGATATAATGTATGCCGCAAGCAGTGACAACAATATCACATCTACTACCTGATTGAGATTGTGAGATGCATCCTGATCTCAGATATGTTAAACCAAGGTGGTACTTAGAGTTGGTGGCTTATGACCATAAAAGTACCAACTGCAGGCAACATAATGAAAATGGAAGGGTATGAAAATGAGCCTCCATGATGTCTGCCCAAGTCAGTGTTCCTTTTGGACCAGAGAAGCCCACCAGGCTAGTCCCTTGCATCCCTTGACTTACACACCCAGCGATGAAAACCAGGGCTCTGACTGTGTGGGTCAGGTCCTGGCTCCATCAGTCTTCTAGAAAGGTAATCATGGGCTTAGTCCTTAGCCCCTCTTAGCCTCAGTTTTGTCAAATAGCCTTCTAAGGCCATAGTGAAGTTTAAATGGGAAGGCGGGGCGCCTGGCTGGCTCAGTGGGTTGGGCCGCTGCCTTCAGCTCGGGTCGTGATCTCGGGGTCCTGGGATCGAGCCCCGCGTCGGGCTCTCTTCTCGGCGGGGAGCCTGCTTCCTCTCCTCTCTCTCTGCCTGCTTGTGGTCTCTCTCTGTCAAATAAATAAATAAAATCTTTGAAAAAGGAAAAAAAAATAAAATAAATGGGAAGGCAATGTCACACACATAGCACTGGGAATAGTGCCTAGCACATGTTTGTAAGTATCTGGTATCTGTTGTCATCATTGGTGTGGTATGGATGCAGTATATGAGTTTGTACCAGTGGTATATATTGCTATTATCTTCATTTTATTCTCTTCAAGTTCCTGGGGGAAGTTAAGCCAAGATTTCACTTGAGGATCATGGACAAAAATAGATCCTTCCTTTGTTTACTTTTGTGTGTCTTTTCTGACAGTCTGGCATAATGATGATCAGGCTTAATTGGTTTAAATTATTTAAAGAAAATCCCAGGAATTTGGTCTTCCTGAATAAAAGTTATGAATGATGGTGAGACACTTAAAAAAAAATCACCTGGGTAAATCTTAGGTGTGACTGGCCTTCACAAGTCAATGTAGAGATCAAGTCCTATAGTCACAGGATTTTTTTTTAAAGATTTTATTTATGTATTTGACACAGAAAGAGAAGGGGAGGCACAAGCAGGGGAATGGCGGACAGAGGGAGAAGCAGACTCCCCGCTGAGCAGGGAGCCTGACACAGGGCTTGATCCTAGGACCCTGGGATCATGACCCAAGCTGAAGGCAGAAGCTTAACCATCTGAGCCACCCAGACACCCCCTGTAGTCACAGGATTTAATTGAAAGTCTTAGTCATGTTTGTCCTCTTCTGTTTTAATACTTTACCACTGGAATGTGGGCACTTGGATTTCTTCCACCTTTTAGCTATTTTTGAATTAGGGCACATTGGAGAGAGCTCATAAAGCCCAACAAACTGTAATTGCAGATTATGATAAATTTCATCTGCGCAGAATAACGACTAGAGCTAATATTAGCCTTTTGGATAAGGCCCATAGTATTCGTACAATCTTGGGCTGCCTGTGTTTCCTGTTGTAAACTGTTGCCAGACCAGTTGGAGTGACTCTAGAGGAGTTGTCTCTAAACAGTCTTGGTAGCAAACTCCTATCCATAAGGAAAGTTTGGGTGTGTATCTGTCACACATACATTTATAATTAAATTAATACATTACAAAGCATAAGCCAGAAATATACATTTAAAATTTTTGATCTAAAAATAAACATAAATAGTAGTTCTTGTATTTTCTCCACACTGAAATGGTTATTTTAGAGATATTGTATATATTTTCCTTCCATTTTCTTTGTGTTCCTATGCATATATATTTTTATTGGCTGCCCAGAGTTCATTTGACTCTTCAGTTCTTGGACATTTACTTTAAATTCATTTTCCTTTTCTTAAAAATAATGTTGTTACAAACCTCTTTGTATAAATACCATACTCTGAATTCCTCACTATTTCCTTTGGGTATATTCTTAGAAGTAGGACTGTTGGGTCAAAGGTAGGAATGTTTATTAGACTCCTGATACATTAAAGATGTGAATTCTTTCCTTTACATTTTTTTTTGCTAATGCCTTTCCCATTGAGGTTTGCCATTTGGCATCCATTTTCCTGGAAAATGAGAAGGCCTCTTGTGGGGGAGAAATTCCTCTGTAACAGATGGCTGTCCCAGGCACTCAGGTAAAGCAGCGTGGATACAATTTTTCCATCCGTTTGAGATGGGGACATTGGTTCCATGCTCCTGCATCCCTCTTGACATGATTGTTCATATCTAATTAGCCATGAGTAAAACCTTCTGAATTAACCTAATGCATTTGTTAGAATAATACCCAAGGGGGGAAATGGTTAGGGAATGGGAAGGAATTCTGCATTTCTTCCCAATATTTTTAGGAAAGAATCTTCATGAGGAGGGGAAAATATCCATGTACTATGTGATACCAGTTCCTTTCTTTCTTTCTGTGTTTTGGCCTAAACTAAGGTCTCACTTTGTCCTAATAGCTTTTATCATAATGAATTTCAGGAAACCTAATTACTGAGAAAGAGTATTACTGTTTATTTTCTTTAAAGGACACACAACTGCTTAAATCAGTTTTAAACAGTAAAGCCTTCTTGGTACAAATGTGTGCCATTTGTGTCTCTATATCTATTTTTATGAGTTGCACACTGCATTGTAATTCATATTTCTGTGATTATCTTGCTTGCTGGGCTGTTCCCTTCTTGTGGGCAGGGTTTGTATGTATTCATCTTCCTAATTGCAGTACCTCTGTCAGGCAGTAAGTGTCTAGTAAATATTTGCTAGATAAATTAATAAAGATAAGAGTCTCAATGGTGGATGGAAATCTTGAAAAGAGGCATAACAGGATAGGTAAGGGTACAGGCTTTGGAGCCAAACAGCTGAATTTGTGTACTAGACTTGTCACTTTTCAGCTAAGGCTTAGTTTCCCTTTCTGTAAAATGGGGGTAATATTAATCCTGACCTCACAGAGTTGTGCTTTTAACTTTGCCAAGGCATATAGTCTTGGTAATATAAGTTGGCATATAGAAACTTAATCAATGCTATCCATTAAAACTAATGCATAAAAGGTATAGAGAAAGCATGCTGTTTCTCAAGGAATTTCATTCCATGCCAAAGGGCAATTAATTTTAATTTTTTTCCTTTTTTTAGAATGGAGAAACACCATTTTTCCTGGCTGTTAGAGGAGGTCATGAAGAATGCAGCAAAGTGCTTCTGGCAGCAGGAAGTGATGTCAACATTCCAAATAAAGTATGTGCGCCATGCCATGTTCACACACTATGGTGGGGGACTCAGAATGTTCTTTGGTTAATCTAGTCCTGAACAGATCCACTCACTAGGCTTTTGTAGAATTGATATTTATAATTTGCTTTGTTTTGGGTAACAATTAATGATTTACCTCTGATAGTCCCCTAATTACTGTCTCCTTGAAAGCATTGCCATTCTTCCTATTTATTGGGGATGGAATAATTGAAAACAGGGGCAAAAGGAGCAGATAGTTGTTAGTCTCAAATACAGAGACATTCTCATTCTACCTTGTTTTCTCCCTAGCCACTGTACGTGCCTGGCTTACACACTGTAAATGCTGAAAAAAAAACCCATTATTGTGTGAAAGCTCAAGTGGTCAGTCTGGGCCTGAAGAAGACACTATGGTGCCTTCTTGTAAACACAGAATGCTTTTGTATTTAGGCATGGAGCTAAGATCCTGCGTCACTTACCTTCATTTCTTGGTGAGGGAACTGGAATTTAGGAAAGTTAAGGAACTCGTTCAGGATTATCTGACGAGTCAGTGACCGTGGTGAGGATTCTCACCCTTGCAGTGGTCTTACCCTTCAGATGGTTTTGCTTTCATTTTCCATTTTTTGAAGTAATTTTCAATTACAATTAAAGTAACAAAAAACTTGAATAGTTCCAAAGGGTATATTCTAACTGCAGATTTCAATTTCATCTCCCCAGAACTAATGGGATCAATAGTTCATTGAATCTGTTTTTTCCATGCATTTACATGGAAACTGTGATGAAGCATGGACATGTATAAATACTGACACCACTACGTGGATCTCCTGTTCTGGACTTTGGGTTTTGTTTTTGTTTGTTTGTTTTTTTAAGTGCTAGTATGTTTTGGGACTCCCTTCGTATCAGCACAATGTACAGGCAAACTTTTAAGATAGAGCAGATTTGGTTCCAGACCATTGCAAAAAAGCGACTATCACAATAAAGTGAGTGAAATGAATTTTTTGGTGGTCTGTTGTGGTCTGTTAAGTGTGCAATAGCATTATATGCCCCAAAACAACGTACATACATTAATTAAAAAATACTTTATTGCTAAAAAAGTCTAACTGTCCTCTAAGCTCTCAGTAAGTTAACAATCTTTTCACTGGTGGAGGGTCTGGCCTCAGTGTTGATGGCGGCTAACTGATCAGGGTGATGATTACTGAAGGTTGAGGTGGCTGTCACAGTTTCTTAAATGTGAAGTTTGGTGCAGCGATTGACTCTTCCTTTTGTGAACCGTTTCTTTGTAGCATGGATCCTGTTTGGCATTTTACCCACAGTAGAACTTAATGAAAAATTGGAGGATCCTGTCCCTGTATTCAGTATTCTAAATCCTTTGTCATTTCAGTAATCTTCACAGCATTTTCACCAGGAGTAGTTTCCATCTCAAGAAACCACTTTTTTGCTTGTCTGTAAGAAGCAACTCCCCATCTCTTAGTTTTATCACGAGATTGTAGCAATTTATGTACATTTTCAGGTTCCACTTCTAATTCTATTTCTTGTATTACTTCTACCTCATCCGCAGTTTCTTTCTCTACTGAAGTCTTATGCCTTCATCTTGTAAAAAAAAAAAACAAAAAGCAGTATCTGTGAAGTACAATAAAGCAAATCAATAAAATGAGGTATGTTTGTAGAAACAATACCTTTTCAAAAGGTGTAAAGATAACACTAGTATCAAGAACAGAGTCTGAAATTGGTAATGTTTTATGCTCTTTATTCTGCTGGTGGAAGTGTACATTTGTACAATGCTTTTGAAAAGCAATTTGTCACTTTTCTTTCACCCAGCCTTGAAGAATTCTGTTAAGGGAGTAATCTTAAAAAGGGAAAAAGGTACATGCATTAAGATAGATAATGAAGTTATCTCCAATAGCCAAGAATTAGATACAGCCTATACATGCTAAGAATTCTAGAGGAAAGCCAAATAAGTCTGGTGTATCTTTTTCTTGGAAAATGACGTAGCTGTTAAAAATATTAATGATAAATACTAAATATACTAAATATGTTCCATGTTCCACATAAATATATTCATAATATGGGATGCCTGGGTGGCTCAGTCTGTTAAGTGTCTGCTTTTGGCTCAGGTCATGATCCCAGGGTCCTGGGATCAAGTCCTGAATTGGGCTTCTTGTCAGCAGGAATCCTGCTTCTCCCTCTGCCTCTGCTGTTCGCCCCTGCTTGTGCACTCTCTCTCTCTCTTTCACAAATAAATAAATAAAATCTTAAAAAAAAAAGTTCAAGATAGAACACAAATAGAAAAGATGATATGTATTTGTACATACATCTTCACTGTCTAAAATTATATAATGGACAAGATTGTGAGAGAGAGTAGTAAATAAAGATATCATGAGTTGATTCCCACTGGAGTTGCAGGCTTATTTATGCAGTAAATGAGCACCATTATTTATGCAATAAATGAACACAACATTAAGAATTCATGGGTCCCACGAAATACTTGAGTGTGGAGAGCTGTTGTGTTTTTCAGGCATTCACAGGTGCCTCCCTGCCCCCAGTCTTCAGCCCCCTTGAAGTCCCTGGAAAAGCCTCCCTCGTTATTGGGGTCCTGCTGGGCTCACTTCTGTTGGCTGACTCCATTGATCGGTTCCCTCCCTCTCTTCTGTACTTAATTCTGTTAGCCTCCAGAGAGGCTTTGCTTTGTAATGGTTTAATGGTTTTCACATGTTCACATTCTCCCCACCCAACTAAGACTATAGACTCCACGTTATCCATATCCTTACAGCCTTGACATTATCTAGGCAGCCTGGAAATTGTCCTGGGTCCATTTTTCAACTTGTACATTTTCTTGAGTTTTCCCCTGAGTTCAGTAGCACACTTCCTGCATCAACAGCCTCAGCTCTTACTGGTTGTTCACACCTGTCTCCACCAAACCCAGTGAAGACCCTGGGGGACTGAGCTGTGGGCAGCAAGAAGCCTGCAGCACGGATACATCACTGTGGGGACATGTTAGGCTTAGTTTGCTCTTACATCTGTAGGTGATTACTGTGTTTGATCTTGGAAATGCTTTACCACTTGACAATGATTAGTGTTGCTGTGCAGGAGATTGCCTTTGTGCTCCAACCCCCAACTAAGGGGAAGGGGTAAGGGATTGAACCATTTCTGGGGAGGTAGTTGGAGACTATGGATTTAGCTGACAGCAGAGGCTTCCTCCGTTTGGGCTGATGTTATGCTGCCCAGAGTTGGGCAGGAGGTTCTCTTTCAGGGTCGTACAAAATGCCCCTAGACCAGTGAAGACTTTTGTAGACCCTAACAACTCCTTTTTGGAGGCTTTACCCTTATAGCTTATCAAACATATTTAAAGGCCCCAACATTCCACATTAAAAAAGTTGTGTTTGCTGTAAATCATTTTAAAAGCTCTTTAATTGGTGCTTTCATAATTATTTGGCTATGATACAATCCCTCAATTTATGATTGATTTTGGTCTTCTTAGAACTCTGTATATACTTGGGAATTTGAAGAGGTGAAAAAATTTAACCTACAAATTGTTTACGAATGTAATGAATATTTTATGACTATTACATTTTACAATCAATAGGGTATGACTATGTCAATTAAATATTTATTCACTTCAATTTCACGGTTTTCTTTTGGTATCTTGGAATCAATAATTTTTTTGGTAAAGACTTTAAACATTTATTTGGCTCTTAAAAAGTCTGTAGGCCCTACACTCATTGCCTGTGGTACCTCTGGGGTAAGATGCCAGAGTCCCACAGCTCTTCCTACTATTTCTTGGCTTTGGGTTCTTCACAGGCTTGCTTCTGATTCAGATCTTCTTAGATCTCAGTCCCAGTGTCACCCTATCCTGGAGGATTTCTTTGATCACTTACTGGAAAGTAGCCATCCAGTCCTGCTGTTTTACTTTGTTTTGTTGCACTTAGTATAGCTGTTATTATTCTTGTAACATCTAGATCTAGTTAACAGATTTGTTCTCAGTCTGCTGGTGCACTGATCTGTCTGCTAGTCTAGAGGTCTACTGATTGTCCACCTCTACTGGAATGTTATAGTGGAGAGCTTGTTTACCAGCATATCTCCCCATTATCTAGCATTGTGCCTGGCGCATAAGAAGGGCTCAAGCTATTTGTGTGTGTGTGTGTGTGTGTGTGTGTGTGTATGTGTGTGTGTGAAATGAATAACATGATAGTTATGATTACTGTACATATTTACTAGTTCATTTATTCTCCCAGTATTACTATGGCTTGGGAAAAAGAGGTAGGATGGTGTGGTAAACAGAAGAATGCCCCCTCACTCCAAGGACGTCCATGTCCTAATCCTTGGAATCTGTGAATATGTTATGGTACAAGGCAAAGAAAGATTTAGGTTATGCATGGAATTAAGGCTGCTAATCATCTGACCTTAAAATGAGATTATCCTCAGTTATCCAGGCAGGCCCAGTATAATCACAAAGGTATTTTAAAGCAGAAGAGGAAGGCAGTTGAGGAGGTCAAAGCTAAGCAGGATGAGAAGGAATTAGCGCACCATGACTGGCTCAGAAGATGAAGGGAAGGGCCCGTGAGCCTCAGGATATGAGCAGCTTCTACAAACTGGAAAAGTCAAAGAAGGGGATTTTCTTGAGGGCCTCCAGAAAGGCCTTTATTTTAGCCCAGTGAGACCCATTTCAGGCTTCAGAATCCCAGAATGGTAACATAATACATGTGTATTGTTTAAGCCACTGAGTTTGTGGCAATTCATTAGCAGCAGCAATAAAAATTAGTACAGGTGGTTATATCCTTTTTTACGGATGAAGAGGCCCACAAATGTCATAGAGACATTTAGTAGCTACTCAAGCTAGAGTCCAGGTGGTCAGGCTGTGTATCGTTCTTATGAGCATCTTATCTGTTACTTCACAAGAAACCCACCAGAAGATCAGTGGCTTGAACCAATAATACACTGGTATCTGTCATTCATGGCTCTGAGGCTTGGGGTGAGCTGAGAGATTCTTCCTTTGGGTCTGTTAGTCAGACTATGTGGTCATAGTCAGATGTCAGCCAGGACTTTGGTCCTTTGAAAGCGTAAGTGAGCTGGACGTCCATGGTGGCTCACTCACATGCCTGGCAGTTGGTGTCAGCTGTCAGCCGGGAGCTCAGCTGGGGCTGTTGAGTGGCACTGATGTGTGGTCTCTTCTCCTGGCAAGGCAGCTGGATTTTAATAGGCAGGGAGCAGACCCTGCCAGGCCGGTTAGCAGCTACACCTGCCACGGGCACACTGTACCTTCTGCCATATTCTGTTGATCGGTCCGAGCACTTACAGAGTCCACCCAGATGCAAGGGTAGACTGCGTGTTGGGGAAGTGGAAGGCTCACATTGCCAATGGGCCCATGAAATGTCGGTTACTTACGTAGCCATTTTTGGGAAAACGTTAACATCCTATAGAATCTTATTTGGTGGACCTAGAAATACTTTGTAGCTATCTTATAATTAATTGGCCAGCAACTATCCATTGATCTTATATTACTGCAGCGCAGCATGCTAAAACCTCTTATAATTAATTGGCCAGCAACTATCCATTGATCTTATATTACTGCAGCGCAGCATGCTAAAACCTTTCGGAAGACGGAACAATAATCAAACACAGTTCTGCCATCTAGCATGGGCATGAAGTGAAGCCATGTGAGCACGGGGAGCGGTAGGAGGCAGCACGCAGCAGGGAAGGAGAGGCACTGAAGTTGAGTGAGGGGCCATGAGGGAACCCTGCACAAAGATCACAGTCATGCTAAGCTTTGGAGCCAGACCTGGTGGAAGGGAAAGCTGTAGGTAAGCTGGCCAGGGGGCACGAGGGTGTTGAAGCATTTCCTGGGACCAATACCAGGACAGCCGTTTTGGTTTAAGGAGGGGTTTTGCAGGATGTTTGGAGAGAAGACTTGGCCCTTGTCCGCTTTGTACTCCTTATAGAAGGGAAACAGGGATTTAGCTTGTATTTGCCTGAGGCATGTGTTACCTAGGACTCTCACTCTTAGGGGAAACACTTATAGGAAGTAACGAAGAGGCCCTCCAAATGATCAAAAACACGTTGGATTTTCTTTTTTAAATAGTTGCACTGTTTCATTGTATTAATCAATTACCACGTGATGGATACCAGAAAGCATGCTGGATTGTAATGGGGTCCTCCCTGCCCTTTCCACCTGTGTCTTGCAGCACAACATCACTGCTTTGGAGATGGCAACCCAGAATGGGCATGCATCCCTTGTCAGCTGTCTTCTTGGAGAGAATGTTGATCTGCACCAGAACACGGAAGTGAGTCTATTCCAGTAACATGCGCTTGGATCGTGGTGCCGTGAGGCTGGCTGTGCGGGGAGATACTCCTCACAGATACTTGAGGGGATGAGATGTTCACAAAGGAGGAATTCTTTCTGGGAACGCTGACTGACTTCTTTTGGAGACTCAGTCTTAATTTTGAGAAATAAAATCCAAGGGATGAATTTTAGAAAGTCGTTGAAGTTCCTGAACAAAATGAGTTCTTTGTCTTTTAAATATTGATATTTGCTGCAATAAAACTTTCCCAGGTATCTAAAGATGCTGTTATTCTTGTATTAAATTTATCAGTCTGGGAAAAGAAAGGACACTGCTATAAATGGGAAGAAGAATGATCATTCCCCACCCCCCCTTCACTGAGTGATCTTGTTTTTCTTTTGAAAGTCAATCTTTTTTTCTGATTTACATTTTCTGAAGTTTGAGTTGGCTTTGGTAGCATTAACAAAAGCCCTCTGTGCTGGAATTGGATGGGAAACATTCCTCTGTTTTTTACTCTATTTTCATTTCTCCTGTGAGAATGTTATTTCCTCTGATTTTGCTTAGCCATTATTATTTATTATATTAACTGGAGAGAAAGGATGTTGATTTGATCACGTTTGGTAGTTTTTGGAGAATGACGTTAGGGAATTGGCTCTGAACTCGCCTGTTCTATCCAAGGATGCTTCCCGTTTCTCGGGAGGGGCTGGGTCCCAGCAAGGCCGGTGGCCCTGGCAGGACGGACACTGCCCATTTCCTTGGGCCAAGGGATGCTTTCTCTTTTTTCATGCTTGGTGCCTCAAGAGAGAACATTCTTCCTGAATAGAAGAGGCCTGCCTAGAAAGCCTTCCTCCCACCCTGCCCTGAAAGCCTTCCTCCCACTCTGCCCTAGCCAGTCCCATCATTTCCATTTCCTTGTTCACGCCTGTGGCAGCCTGACCTATGCAGCTGTGGAGTCCTACTTCCTCCTTTTCTCCTCTTCCTCTGTGTGCTGGTGCAGCTCTTGCAAACTCAGTACCTCTCTCTTCCATAGGTTTCTTTCCTAGTAGTTTTCCTGGGAAGAAGCCTGGTGCCAATGTTAAAGTCAGGTGGATAGGGGTTCAAATCCTGTCTCTGCCACTTCCTGACCCCAAGGCCTTTCGGAAGTTATGTAACTGCTCTTGACCTCATATATAAAGTGGGGAATAGAGGATCTAGCTGGTAGGGTTATTGTGAATGAAAACTGTTAGCCCAGAGTTTAAAACAGAGTATAAACTGTTGGAGAAGTGAGTATGCATTAAGTAGCATTATAAAAATATGTTCAATGTGTCTAAGTGGTTCTTATTATTAATATCTCTTTCCCTTGAGCAACACCATGCTCTGTCCTCATCACACCTGCCCTTACACACACGTGTACTCCCTGTCAGCTGCCTTGGCTCTCAGCTCTCCTATTGTTCACAGCCTCCCTGGATCTCCTGAAGACCCTGCTCTTTCACACTTGCACCCCCCTTCCCTTGCCTCCTGCTGCCTTCCCTCCACCCTGACTGCCCCTCAGCTCACTCTCTCTCCTGTCTAACCCCTTTCCCACACCTGTTTTTCTTTTTGGCTGCCTTCAGTACCCCTAGAGACATTTCCCTCGTGCCTCCATAGGCCAGTGGCAGCTGGGTGGTGGTGAAGCAGCAGGAGCCAAGTGAGTGATCCTAGAGGCGGTCATGACCTCCTGGGAAAGAATCCTGCCTTTGGGGATGGCTTAGAGGGACTGGACATGGGTGAGGCTGCAGGACAGGCATTTTAACCACAACTGAGGAGGAAAGGGGAGCAGGCTGGAGGGGCTTGGTGAACATCCTGGGGCTGTATACTCTATATTCATGGGAGGGCTAACCATGAGAATGGTGCCCCTGGGTGAGTGCAGCCTTAGTCCCACAGAAAGCTCTAGGGAGAAAGAACTCTAAATCACAACAATTCAGGAAATGCTGAATGTGCATAGTTTTTCCTCCTTGTAGCTATTCCCACCGTACTTTAGGTCTTGGAAGGCACTGAGAAGTCCTGCAGTTAAGCCTATTTCATATTTTTTATCATTTTTATCTAAGTGAAAGTGTCAGTTCTTCAGGAAAGTTTTTTTCATCTTCAGAAAGGTTAGCAATCTGCCCATCCCAATATGCTCTCCTGGTACTCTCCTGTACCTTCAAAGCACTTTTCACAATTTATGTATTTATTTTGTGATTTTAAAAAAATTAATATTTTCTTACCCCACTAGATTGGAAGATTCCTGAGAATGGGCCATGTTTACCACTAAATCCTTAGCCTCCTGAAAAGAGCCTGTTCCATAGTAGGTGTTAAGTGTATAGTTCCAGAACAAATGAGGGGGAGAGCTGATTGCTGGTGAGTGGGTTTGCTGCACAACCCTGGGATGGAAATGATGCTGAACACTTGCTATTGGCCTGATGCTGTGTTGGGCAGTTCCAGTACTAGGAGATTATCAGGACATCTCTATCAAAATGAATGCTTTTTGTTCTGAATGATGAACCCAGAATCTTTTGGATTTGAAATTTTGTTTCTTTTTCTTTCTGCAGCCGAAGGACTCCCCTCTTCATTTAGCTGTTATCAACAACCATATCTCAGTTGTGAACAGCTTAATAAGGGCACAGCACGACATTGACACCTTAAATCAGGTAAGCAAAGTATATCAGAAACCTAAGAGTCTGTTTTCTTATGATTCAGTGTGTTGTGTAGTTAAGGGTAGTTTTGAGCAAGTTCAAGTTACTTTAAAAATTTCCAAGTGGTGGGGCGCCTGGGTGGCTCAGTGGGTTAAATCCTCTGCCTTCGGCTCGGGTCATGATCTCAGGGTCCTGGGATCGAGCCCCGCATCGGGCTCTCTGCTCCGCGGGGAGCCTGCTTCCTCCTCTCTCTCTGCCTGCCTCTCTGCCTACTTGTGATTTCTCTCTGTCAAATAAATAAAATCTTAAAAAAAAAAAATTTCCAAGTGGAATATATATATCTTATCATTTTTTTTCCTGTGACCCCCATTCCCACTTGCACACACATACTTTTTCAGATGCACAACTGGGGTTCAGCTAGTGCATTCTTAACCTGATTGCACTTAATAGGTCCATCACCTCTGGTTGATAAACAGTAGCTCAGGGATGGATTGCCAGCGGCTCTTTAAATCAAAAGCCACTCCCTCTGCATGAAATATAATTGGCTAGTGATAGCCCTTTGCCACAAGGAGGAAGCTTTGTTTCTATATTAGAGACTGTAAATGGTCTTCCTTTTACCCAAAGGCAAAAGAGACCTCTTGGAATTAAAAAAAAAAAATCACAATTAATTCAGTCCACTGGAGCAGAATCAAATGCCCCGTAAAAGGAATCCATCACTGGCTGGAAATGGAAATGCTGAGGTGGAAGATTAAGAGGATGGGAGTGGGCACTGTCTGAATCAGGGCCAACTCTGGGGCTGAGCTGCCTCTCCCAAGAGCTGTCGGAAGTAGGAAGAGAAACTCTATTTGGGGAGGAGCCCTTCTGGAACCCTGGGGACAGATGAGAACTCTGGACACGTCTTGCTTTTCTGACTGCCTCTACCTAGAGAAGCCTCCGCTGGGCCCTGAGATGAGGGAGCAGCCAGATCCAGGGCACATGCTTGTCCTAACCTTCTGGGTGGCCCTCAGCTTCTGTCTGGGGAACCAGAGCCTCAGGTCTCTCCAGTCACCTCCATCTCCAGCCTAGGTATTCCTTTGTGCGGGAGCAGAATGGAGACTTACCTGCACTTCCATTCCTTACCCCCTCAACGAATCTTCCTCCCTGTGTTTCATTATCACAAATGTTTGGGGGAGGTGGGGGAGGACCTTTTTGTTATTATATATGCTTATGTGTTTGAATCTGCTAATGCCTCAAATATTTACAAATGAGCAGAATCTTTGCTCCATACACAGAACTTACACATGATTTTGGTTTCACCAGAATTGGCTAGATTCATTCCAGAGAAGGATGGCTTATTATTCTGCACCCCCCGCCCGTTATAGAATTAGACTTTTTCATTTCAGTTTTATGTTAGATTGGGAATACACTCAATGTATAACAATAAAAAAACATAAATAAGGTAAAAAACTTCCATTTGTTTGTAATTCCCCCCAAGGAAGGACAATCTTGTTAACATTTTGGTTCATTTCCTGCCTTTTAGACTTATAACAGTATCGTCGCAATGAAATTTTGTTGGTATTTAATGTGTGACACTTGTATCTCTGTTCCGTGTTGGTATAGACCTTCGATAGTTTGTTATCGTAAGTGTGATGTTTCTGATGAGCCCTCAGAGGGGCACATTGCCATCCAAAAGTGAGTCTTTAACAAATGCTTTCTGATATTAATTATGCTAATGTCCCAAGCAGGTTGGCCCAGTGCTCTGGTTGGAGGAGTATTGAGCTAGATGCTATTGCCCAATTGTGTGACTCTGGGGAAATTGCTTCCTCTCTCTGGTTCAAGGGTTGGGCTAAACCATAAATAGCATACTAATATTTTTTTAAAATATTTTATTTATTTATTTGACAGGCAGAGATCACAAGTAGGCAGAGAGGCAGGCAGAGAGAGAGGAGGAAGCAGGCTCCCTGCTGAGCAGAGAGCCTGATCTGGGACTTGATCCCAGGAACCTGAGATCATGACCTGAGCCAAAGGCAGAGGCTTTAACCCACTGAGCCACCCAGGCACCTCTCAGTACTAATATTTTAGAAGTATCTGCACATTAGCATATCCCTTCAGTGAAAGGTTAAAGTGGGTGATTTTCTTGTGATTTTGTCTTTTTCTTTGAAACACTGTTATCCTCTTGGTAAGAAAATGATTACCCCAGAAAGAAATTTAACCATTTTTAAATGTAAAGTTCATTGGCATTAAGTACATTCACATTGTTGAGCAACCATGGCCACCATCCAACTCCAGAACTTTTCCATCTTCCCAAACTGAAACTCTGTATTCTTTAAACACTAACTCCCTATTCTCCCTTCCCCCCAAGTCCTGGTAACCATCATTCTTCTTTCTTGTCTCTATGAACTTGACTATTCTAGTATCTATTGAAATCATTTTTTAAAAATAATTAATTGTTGCCTACTAATCCAGCATGTGGATTTACCATAATTTATCAAATGAATCTCCTAGTGAAACATGCAACTTCCTTTCAGTTTCTCACTGTTAAAAATAACACTGTAGTGAATGTCCCCTGTACCTATGTAAAAATATGATCTTGGGGCGCCTGGGTGGCTCATTCAGTTAAGCGTCTACCTTTGGCCGAGGTCATGATCTCAGGATCCTGGGATTGAGCCCTGAGTTGGTCTCCCTGCTCAGTAGGGAGTCTGCTTCCCCCTCTTCTCCTTCCCCCTGCTTGTGTGCTCTCTCTTTCTCTCCCTCTCCCTCAAATGAATAAATAAAATCTTAAAAAAATTTTTGAAAAATAAAAATGTGATCTTAGTCTATCTTCCCTTATGCCCATATAGGACACCTCTGCATTCCCTGTGTCTTTTGATTATGCAAGTTTTTTCCCCTCCTTAATGTGTTTAGATTACATTTTTGAAATTTCTCATGGCAGAGGCGGCAGACTCCTTTGCATGTTGCTGCTGATCTTGGCAATGTGGAACTGGTGGAAACCTTGCTGAAGGCAGGATGTGACCTGAAGATTGTTGATAAAGTAAGTTCACAGTCTTCACCATGTTCAGTGGAGATGGTCATGAAGAGCTCCCTGTTGTCTGTAACCCTTGAACAAAGTAAGTTCACAGTCTTCACCATGTTCAGTGGAGATGGTCATGAAGAGCTCCCTGTTGTCTGTAACCCTTGAACGGCAGCCTTACTTAGCACACCCCTTGTGAGTCGGACACACATGAGAGAAACCGTGTATCCAAGCAGTCAGTAGAACATCCTGATTTTGATTGAGTTGTGTAGGTAAAATATTTTACCCTGAATAATAAAACAGGTATTTTTAAAAATAAAATTATTTATTAATCTTTGGGAAAGATGGTAGATTCACTTGGTCCAAAAATTAAAAAACATAATCAGTAAAGGTTTTACAATAAAAATGTGCCCCCCCCCCGACCCTAGTTATCTGGGTTCCACACTACTCTGGCCATACAGATCTATTGTCAAAATTTCTTTGTTCTTTCCAGTTTCTTTACACATAAATAAGCAAACATAAATATATTATACTCTTACCATATCACTCCATCCTTTTTACATTGTGGTGATATACTTCTCCATGCTATCCTGCATTTAGCTTTTCTTCTTTAAGTATATAAAGTGGAAACTGTCCCATATTAGTACAAGGAGAGTTTCTTCATTCTTCTTTATACAACAGACTGTGGCATGGACATGTCATAATTTGTTTCGTTCTCAGTGGATGGGCATTTAAATTGTTCCTAAGCTTTTGCTGTGACCGAGCTGCAGTGAACAAACATACACATGTCTAAACTTGTTCTTACTTAAAAATTCTTTAATTGTAAAATAAATATAACATAGAATATATCATTTTAACCCTTTTTCAGTGTATGGTTCTGTAGCGTTAAGTCTATTCACACTGTTATGCAGCCAATTTCCAGAACTTTTGCATCTTGCCAATCTGAAACTCCAAACAGCAACTCCTTGTTTCCTCCTCCTTCCCCAGCCAGCCCTGGCAACCACTGCTCTATTTTCTGTTTCCGCGAATTTGACTATTCTGGGTACCTCATGTAAATAGAATCATACAGTGTTTGTCATTTTGTAACTAGCTAAGTTCATGCAGCATAATGTTCTCAGGGTTTATCCGTGTCGTGGTGTGTGTCAGACTAGCCTTCCTTGTAAGGATGAATGATACTCCGCTGTGTACAGAACACATTTTGTGTATCCTTGTATCTGTGGATGGACATTGGGTTGCTCCCACCTTTTGGGCATTGTGTAGACTTGTTTTTAAAAGAAAGACAACTTCGTTTCTCTCAAGTAAAGCAGTAAGCTGGGCTCCATGTCAGGAGGATTGCAGGGTGGCCATCTGCTAGGTTCCAGTTTACTGAAAAGCATAAACACAGGAGACTGAGGTGTGGCAGTCCTGTTAGGTGCTCACACACGTGCACCTCGTTTCACTCCTCACATCTCTGTGAGGTGGACAAAATTATCCCAGTTTTGAAGAGATTTCTATGATGTCAAGGGTCATGTGCACAGTAAGATGTAGAGCCAAGCTTCAAAGCCAAGGCTGCTTGGTTGTCCAGCGCTTTCCCACAGCTGTGAGCAGAGCTGACTGCTTCTGAAACTTGCCGCTTTCCCCTTTCTTGTGTTCACCCAAACTCTTCATTAGCTCCACACGTCTTTAATTCCTAGTGCATGCGGGGTTCACCCTATGTACTCTTTCAGAATCTTTTTTTTTTTTTTTAAGATTTTATTTATTTATTTGACACACAGAGATCACAAGTAAGCAGAGAGGCAGGCAGAGAGAGAGGAAGAAGCAGGCTCCCTGCTGAGCAGAGAGCCCGATGCTGGGCTCGATCCCAGGACCCTGGGACCATGACCTGAGCCGAAGGCAGAGGCTTTAACCCACTGAGCCACCCAGGCGCCCCCAGAATCTTTTTTACATGTTACATTTGTGGGACTTGGAGTAGTGATGTGTTATTTTACTTTTCTCTAGAGGTCAGTTTTTTAAGTTATCATGAAAAGTAATACAAGCCTACTGTGCATGATCTGGAAAACAGAAGCATATGGAAGGAAAACGCAACCACCCAGAACTCGTCACATAGGTGGCATTCTACCACTTTCACCACTGCGGCTCCTTACCATCCCTTAACATTTAGCTTTGGTATTAACATTTCACATTTGTATTTTCCTGTGCTTTCTCGTCCCACTTTATTTCACTTTCTCATTAATACTTAACTCCTGTGGGACACCCACCCCTTATGGGTAAAGACTCTGTCGCATTGGGAAGGGAATTCAGGCTGGGTCCCCAGTGCTCGTGGACTGGGTGTCCTGGTAAATACCATCAGTGCTGCAACTTGACTCATAATTTGATTTTCCCGTTTTTCCCTTCTCTGCCTCCCTCTTTCTTCTCTAGGCCTGGCACATGGTTGGCCCCCAATACCTATTTAATTAATAAAAACTACCTTTTCTAATTACTCCCACAAGTTTTACCAAGGATAAATGTTGTAAGAGTGATTCAGACTGTGGATGGGAAAAAGGAGCCAGGGTTTGGTGTGAATGACTTTCCCAGAAACCTGTTCTCTCAGTCTGAGGTGTCCCCAAGCTCCTGGAGGGCTTCCCACACTCAACAGCAGTTTTATTTGGGTTTCCCCTCCAGGGCACACTCCCTGGGAGGGTTTTCCTAGGTATTTGGTAACACTGGCTTCAGAATGCTGCATTCCCACAGAAGGCTAATCATGGTGATTCCAATGGCTTCTTAAGCCAGAATTTAGGTAGCATGCAATGAGAGACTTGCTAACTGCCTGCACAGTACACTTCTTCCTAATTTCATTACTGTGTCATTTGACTAGAAACTGGTAAATGTCATCTCTGACCTTCTGGCCCACCTGGGTGTTATCACCTTCACTAACAGCCGGATCATTTGGGTTGGTAGGAGTTGCACTTGCTCAGCCATGTGAGGGAATTAGTGGGATAAATTGCTGGATCCTTAAGCAGAGAAGCATGGGTTGCTAAGAACTTTTTCTGGGGTTATTTCTGACATTCATTTTGATTATTTTCAGGACCCCTGAGCAAATTTTTAATGTGCCATTTAAAAAATAGATGAAAACCACCATCTTTTGCTTAGGGAAAAAAATGTATAGATGTGTAGATTGTGCACTGCATAAAATCTAGGGGACATTGCTTGTAAAGCTGTGTGCTGTAGCTTTGAGCTATATCCATCTTAACAAAGGTGTGCCTCTTGTAATTTGTAAAAGATACCAGATGGGATCCCAGGCCACTCATGCCCAAAATCATGTTCAGAATATCCTTTATTGCTCATTCCATTTGGTTAAGTTTCCAATCCCTCACCCTTGATTAGAGGCCATATAATAGAGAAAAATTCTAGATAGGAATCCAAGTGATCTGAATTCGGTACTATGAATTAGTAGTTTTGTCATGGATGCTATTATTCTCTTTTTTAATTAACATATAATGTATTATTTGTTTCAGGGGTACAGGTCTGTGAATCATCAGTCTTATACAATTCACGGTGCACACCATAGCACATACATTCCTCAATGTCCATCACCCAGCTACCCCAGCCCTCCCACGACCCTACCCCCCAGCAGCCCTCAGTTAGTTTCCTGAGATTCAGAGTCTCTTATGTTTTGTCTCCCTCTTGGTTTCATCTTCCTTCATTTTCTCCCTCCCTTCCCCTATGATCCTGTATCTTATTTCTCAAATTCTTCACATCAGAGAGATCATATGAAAATTGTCTTTCTCTGATTGACTTATTTCACTTAGCATAATACCCTCTAGTTCCATCCACATTGTTGCAAACAACAAGATTTCTTTTTTGATGGCTGCATAATATTCCATTGTATATATGTACCACATCTTCTTTATCCATTCATCCGCCAATGGACATCTTGGCTCTTTCCATAGTTTGGCTATTGCGGACATTGCTGCTATAAACATTGGGATGCACATGCCCCTTCGGATCACTACATTTGTATTTGTATTTGTAAATACCTAATAGTGCAATTTCTGAGTCGTAGGGTAGCTCTATTTTCAACTTTTTTGGGAACTTCCATACTGTTTTCCAGAATGGCTTCACCAGCTTGCGTTCTCACCAACAGTGTAGGAGGGTTGCCCTTTCTCTGATGAATGCTCTTATTCTTTTTTTTTTTTTTTAAAGATTTTATTTATTTATTTGACAGACAGAGATAACAAGCAGGCAGAGAGGCAGGCAGAGAGAGGAAGGGAAGCAGGCTCCCCAATGAGCCGAGAGCTCAATGTGGGGCTCGGTCCCAGGACCCTGGGATCATGACCTGAGCCGAAGGCAGAGGCTTTAACCCACTGAGCCACCCAGGCACCTGAATGCTATTATTCTTAATGAGATCCAGCAATTTCTGTCCTTTACCTACTCTCTACAACACATGGCTTCAACTTCTTGGTCTAAGACGGTGTTCCAGCTCCTGCCATCATGTCAGCATTCCACTCAGGAGGAGGAGGAAAGGAAGGAGAATAACATCCTTCCTTTCTTTAAAAATACTTTCTTTCCAGAAGTTGCATTTGCCACTTCTATTTATATACCAGAATTTAGGTCACATATTTAAGTGTGAGGGAGGCTAGGAAATGTCTGGAGTGGCCAAGTGCCTAGCTAGAATCGGGAGGTCTCTTCCCATAAAAGAAGGAAAAGGCTATTGGGGGAAGGAAGCATGGCATATTGACCAAAGTCTCAACCACAGGTAGAGTCAGTCCTGAGGAAAAAAGTGTGTGATCATATTATTTATTTGCTGAGGACTCCCTCGTGCAGTGAGCCAGGGGGGACCCCTGGGGATCTTGGAGACATGTTTGGGTTCTCACTGATAGAGCATGTGTAAAATATCATCTGCTGATGGTTGGTCCCTAAACCCAAATCTTTTCCCCTGCCCTGTTGCCACAGCACCTGACACTTTCAATACCTAGCATCTCTTGAATAATTACCGCGTGGCATGCACAGTCCTAAGGGCTTGATATGCACTATCACATTTACCCCTCACCAGTACACCATGGGGTTCTTTGAGACCTAGGGAAGCCAAGGACTGGCTCAAGCTCCCAAGTGCAGGGAAGCAGTTGGATCAGGATTTGAATGCAGGTCCCTCTGTTCCAAAACTCGAGCTCCTAAACACTATACCATACTGCCTGACACTTTCATTTTTAACTTTTAGCAAGGGAAGACTGCCCTGGCCATGGCCTCCAGGAGCAACCACAGCCTTGTTGTGGACATGATCATTAAAGCAGAGAGATACTATGCCTGGAAAGAGGTAAGGAAGCATGATGCCAGCTTAGCTGTGGCTCTTCTGCAACCACCATCTTCTTATGGGTAGTGTGGGGTTTGTGTAATTCTTTTTCTGCTCTAATGGGAGGGCCCTGGTCAGTGCAATTATAACAGTCCCTTTGGCCTGTGCTGCTCCATTCATGGAATGAACAGCTGCTGCTTCCTCCCTTTGCCAGCATCAGTAGTCAGAACTGAGGTGTGTAGAGCTCATTGGGCTAAGCAGGCTGGTCCGGGCTAACGGGCTTAGCATGCTTGCCCTGCATGGTTGGCTCCCAGGTTGTGCCCTCTGTCACGGAGTCTCTGGCTCTGCTACTTTGTGGAAGTTCTCAAACCCACATTCTAATGAGTGATAACGAAGTTTATGTTCATGGCTCTGCTGTTTTCTACACACCCCTTTCTGGCTGTCACTCAAGTGTCCTATGATAGTCACAAAAACCTTATTCATTTTGAGGAAACAGACGACTTGACTCCAAGACATTCTCTGTCCCTTTTTTCATTATTATTTCCTCTGATAGCTACCACACATGCAGCTTCTCAACAGCAGGCCTTCCCTCCAACATCAAAATCTAAGCCCTCAGGCAGGATTTGCATTATTGGGCAACACCTTCAGTTTCTACTTTCGCTTTCGGTTGTTTCCATCCTAAGCTGAATGGCTCCTCCAGTCTCGTAGATTGGTGCCAGAATTCAGGTCTTAACCCTCATGTGTTTACCCTGAGGAGACTCAGGCTGGTTTGCTGTCTAATTTATCAATCTGTGAAATTTCCCTTAAATCTTTAAGGCAAAGTGCATTGATTTGCCTCTTCCTTGCTCACAATCCTGTTTAATTGGCTCAGGGGTCCTGATATATATATTTGGATGATATGACATACATGTCATTTAAAGGCCACACCATCCTCTTCGAACTTTTCTTACTTGCCTATAAAACAAAACATTTTTGTGACCATTAGAAATGCTTTCTCTCTCCTCCTCCTACTTGATTTCTATTCCTCCTGCTCCTTCATTTTCTTCCTCTTGGCCTTAGCTTCTTTCTCATTTTCTTAGATCATCACTGTATTTGATTGAAGGAAACTTTCCCAACTTCCACCTTTTCTCTTGCTTCTTAAATGACTGTTTTCACATTTTCTTTGAAAATAGAAATAGTCATTGGTTCTATTTTTAATGTTTTTTTTTTGTTTTTTGTTTTTTTTAATTTGACAGACAGAGATCACAAGTAGGCAGAGAGGCAGGCAGAGAGAGAGGAGGAAGCAGGCTCCCTGCTGAGCAGAGAGCCCGATGCGGGGCTCAATCCCAGGACCCTGGGACCATGACCTGAGCTGAAGGCAGAGGCTTTAACCCACTGAGCCACCTAGGCGCCCCCTATTTTTAATGTTTTAATGCTGCTAGCATTTTTAGATTCTTTTTCCTAGAGGAGAATAAACTACTTTCCACCAAATGAATAAGCCCTTTTTCCTAACAAATCTTTAAGATGTGAGAGTTAGATGAACTTTGAGAATCCTATGCAATACATAAATGGATAAAGGAGACTCTCTGAAATGTGAGCATTGTTAACCTTAATGACAAGTGGGGACAGACATCTGGAGTGGGAGGAAGGCTTGTTTTTTAATATATATTTTTAAATGTTTTAAACCAAATTTGTTACTTAAAGATTTATTCATTTATTTTAGAGAGAGCATGTGGAGGGGAGGGGGAGGGGGAAGGGGAGGGAGAAACCCAAGCAGACTCTGAGCTAAGGGCGGCTCAGTTCCAGGACCTTGAGATCACAACCTGAGCCAAAACCAAGAGTCGGCCACTTAACTGACTGTGCCACCCAGGTGCCCCTATTTATTACTTATTTTAAGTTCACTTTGTTCATTAAACAAATCTATCCCCTGATTTTTTTTTAAACCAAATGCATTTATTATTATTTCAAATTCTCTTTGTATATTAAACAAGTTTCTATTCTGGCCTAATATAAAATGATTCCTAATAAAGAACATCAAAGAGAGGACTGACATTTCCTCTCTTGTATCCATCATTAAATCCAGTGGTTAAGAGGCAAATGGGAAGCTTCCTAAAATCTGGCTCATGCTATTTTAATTTCCACCAGTTTTGGCACGTGATACTCCTACAAATATTTCAGTGTTTGGCAGACAAACTATTAATGCTTCCATGAACTGTTGAAAAAGACCTGGGCTTTCCAACTTGATGACCCTTTCCTTTGGAATCCTGAAGGACCACCCAACCCAATCCTGGAATGCAGAGCATGTGTGTTTCTCAAAGAACTAAAAATGCTGTGGTGCAAAGGTTGATGCATTTTGCAGTTCTTCCCTCTACCTTGTGGTGTTTCAGATTTTGTTCTTATTGGAATCCTCATTGTTTCAGGAGAGGGAATGAAGAGAAAAGGAAAAAGTGAAGGGGCCACGGCTCCCATGGCTTCCAAATTTGTTGGATCCCCCACCCTCAGCCTTTCCTCTTTCAGGACTCCCTGGGAGTTAGGCACTGTGGGAGTAAAGCTAAGGTTGGGACAGAGAAGACCCTGTATTTTACAACCTCTGAAACAATTACAGGTAATTTATACCTCCTGTTATAGTCCAACTATTGTTCATAAGTTTCAGATACTAGAGAAAAGACTGGCCTGTTTGCTTGGGTGTGCTTCCCAGGACATTGTAGACCTTCCAGAGGAGCTCACAGGTGCTGTGAAAGACACAAGCTGCTCTGTGACTGGGCTGAGGTACAAGGCCCACCATGTTCTTCCCAGGGGTTTTGACAACCAGGTGTCCATGTCCTCTTATTCCACTTCCTGTCTCAGCATGGACTCCTCCCTTGCTGTTCAGATTATCTTTCACTAAGATTCACTTTTAATTAACAGACAAAAGAACAGGGGAGGGGCACCTCAGCTGGTTAAGTGTCTGCCTTCCGCTCAGGTCATGATCCTGATGACCCAGAACCCCAGGGTTCTGGGATCATGCATCGGGCTCTCTGCTCAGCGGGAGCCTGCTTCTCTCCTTCTGTCTAGCACTTTGACTACTTGTGCTCTTTCTCTCTCAAATAAATAAATGAAATCTTAAAAAAAAAAAAAAGAACAGAGGATACTGGTTGAAAGTAAGGCCTTCAAAGATACATATGTTATTGTGATATTTCCTTAGCTGAGGCAACCCCTCTGTTTTCTTGTGGGGTGAATAAATATCAGCAGGCTGGGATAGAAGCATGTAACATGGCAAAAGCCCTCACGTTTCCTGTGTCAGATAGTACTCAAGCCTTTTATTTCAGACATTTATCTCCATTGTTATCTTGGATGACAAAAATGTCAGATAATACTGACAGCATAAGTCTTGGTTACCACCTTACCAGTTATATCTGAAAAACTGTATACATACCATGAAATAAGGCAATAAGCAGAAAATGAAATCGTCTGATGTAGTTATCTTTAATTTAGCAGCATGGTGAGAACATCAGGGACCCATCAACCAGCTTTACTTTGACATTCAAGCAAGATCACAGTTTGGAGACCAGACATATTCGCAATCTCCTCTGGAAACTGGCTTACCAGCAGCTTAAGGCCAACGAGTGGCAGAGGCTGGCCCGTTCCTGGAACTTTACAGATGACCAGATCAGAGCCATTGAGGAGCAGTGGACAGGTGAGCATGGTTTAGATGTGGGCAGGAAGGAACAGCAGTTCTTCTTGGTGGCAGATCTTCCAAGTAAGTGGTTGGTGCTCACAACAAGCAGCAGACAAGGGCCCAGGAATTGGGACAGTTAGCTTAGGACCACAGAAATTGAGAACTTTGCAAATCATGAACGTTCATGGACTCTGCAATAAACTAAAGTTTGCAAAGGATAATTAACGAGCCATTTGGAAAGTTGGCATTTAGCCTTTAGGGAAATGAAGTTTCCCAACTGAATAGGTGCTAGGGAAGCAAGGACTTAACAGCTTGTCCCTGGGAAAGCAACTTCTTCTAGTGTTCCTTGAGATTATCTTGGGGTGAAAATGTTCATTCTCTAACAAAAGGCTTACTGTTTAGCGCTTCCACTCCAGGAGGAATCCCTTAAGCAACATCTGGGTATAGAATTCTTATAGGATGCAGTCTTGAGTGAGATCACCTATCCCATGAGAGATGTGGGACACAGACTCAGGGCTCTCCCGAGAAGATCCCAAGCCATGGAATCAATTCAGCCAGACTCCAGCTGTCAGAATTAGTGAGGTCAGGTCAGCTGGAGTCATTAGCTTTGCTTTTTTATGATTTGACCAAAACCTGGGAAATACATAAAGTTTATTTGGCATTAACCAACTAATTAGCTTTAAAAACAAGGAAACAGATACTTTTCTTGGCAAAACATTCTATCCAGAGCACTTTCCTTACATGGATATTATGAGATGTGAACAAGTCCCATATTCAGGGGCTGATCTGCATTATTTATTGATTGCTGGGACTGTAGATGGCAAAATCACAGCCCAAGAACACATGCCATTCACACCACATACAAGTAGGCACTTTTTTTTTTTTAAGAGACTTTTTTTTTTAAAAAGATTTTATTTATTTGACAGAGAGAGAGATCACAAGCAGAGAGAGAGAGAGAGAGAGAGAGAGAGAGAGGAGGAAGCAGGCTCCCTGCCTAGCAGAGAGCCTGATGTGGGACTCGATCCCACAACCCCGAGATCAGGACCTGAGCTGAAGGCAGAGGCTTAACCCACTGAGCCACCCAGGCAGCCCCCAAGTAGGCACTTTTAATTGCTAATTCTATGGCTACATTATGGAGAAGATAATGCATCAAAAATGTTGAATATTGGCTATAGTTTCTGAAAAGATTTCTTTTTTACTGTTTTCTCCTTTTTCACTAATTAGGCATTTGGCATCCTGTGACATTTTTAAGAAAATTTAGTTGCCTTCTGGAAATCTCTCTTGACCTAAAGAAATGATTTGAAAATACAGTGTGTCTTCAGAGTAACTGCCAGCAGGATAAAGGCGATTTAAAGTGTTTTAGTCAAACAATGTAGAGTGCCTAGAGTGTGTTTAGCTCTACCAGGTGAGGGATGCAACTGCTCTAGGAGCCAAGGTACATTATTTGGTGGAATTTATAATCTAGTTGGCGTGATAACAGCAACATTCATAATCCAGATACAATCCAGGGTTAATGGTTCTGGCACTAAGGAGTTTGTGGGCTTAATTTTAAACAAAGGAGTGACACGTTGATGGTGCTATTGAAGAATTAGTTTGGCAAGGGCAAGATTAGGAAAGGAACAGGATTCACCTAGGAGTACATTCTTTATGGTTACAGTTCACTGTCCCTGCAACACCTGCTTCTTTAAGTCTGTCCAGCAAGCTTCCTCCCCAGAGCTCAGGCCCTCCTTCTGTGGTATCTGCCTGCTCCCACACACAGAGTGGCTACAACTAGGAGCCTGTTCTGTGTTCTCGTTCTGTTCTGTGTTCTGCCTGTTCTCTCGCAACTCCTGTTGCGAGAGACACATCTCAGCTCAGCACTTCCCCCCCAACATCTCTCAGGGCTCAGGTATTCAGTGAATAATCTTGGTCCAGGGGATGCATACTTCCACCAGAAACTGGAGTGGCAGGCCAGTACACATTTGCTGCTCAAAGTGTGGTTAACAGACAGCAACACCAGCATCTGAGTGATTAAAAGTGCAGATCCTAACCCCAGACCGACTGCATGAGACTCTCTCCATTTTAATAGGATTTCCCATTGAAGTATGCACTTTGTGTGTGAGAAATGGTGGTGGATAGCAGTGCCACGTGAATGCTGAAGGAGAGCTCCCCATCTCATTCCGATTGTTCCTTACCATCGGGCAGGGACTCAGCTGCTTCATGTCTTACCTGCTCCTTCAGTCTGTGCCAAGCACAGCAGGTGCAAGACAAGTGCTGGAGTGAATCCAAACTCTGGTCACCCTAAAGCAGTTCCAGTGAGGGGAACTGGAAGGGCTTTCATCCATTGGTCTTTTTATCTAACAGCCATCAGAAGAGTGAGTGGCAACCACAGTCATACAGAAAATTCAGTGAGAACCAAGATCACAATAAAAAGCATATAATAAAAAGCATGTGGTGTTTTGCCTCTGACTCTATGTACTTGGCACAGGGAAGGGAAGTTTCCGTGAACACGGCCACAGGGCTCTGCTCATCTGGCTGCATGGGACCCTGATGACACAGGCCACTCCGGTCAAGCATCTGTATGAAGAGCTGATACGCGCAGGTTTCCCAGAACTAGCTGGTGAGTTAGTTTTCAAGACAGAAGCTCCTCCTCCCTTCAAATGGTGGGGGGACAGCCAGCAGAAACAATACTGTCCATTAACAGTGGCAGTCCCAATCTGATGAGAGCAGTGGCTTGTAAAAAATCCACAGCTCCTCTGGTGAGTGACTCTGTCAGTACTGAGCCCACCTTAGCCTGGTGGTTCTCAGCATGACCCCCCTGCTGGGGCATTTGAAAAAGTGGGGGAGGATTTCTGTTGATGTGAATGTGTGGCAGGGTGTGGAGGTGTGTGTGGCGTGTGGGGAGCAGGAGAGGGCAGGAATGCTACGCCATCTCATAAAGTTAAAGGAGAGTTTCAAAACTGATTGATTAATTAGGGGGTGTTAAAACTCTCATGTAATAATAACCATTCAAGCAAAATATAGGCACATCTGCCATTATTTTCACTGATGCAGTTTTACCTGAAGCTGAGCTTAAAATGTCTGAATCATACCACTGAGCCAATACTCCATTTCAAGAGATCGTGCATGGATGACAGCTCCTCCTGTGACATTATCTTCATAGCACTGGGATTGTTCCATCTACTTTAAATTTCTGTTTCTATAAGAGTATCTGTAAGAACTCTCAGGGGAGAGTAAGAGGCACTCCCCTGAAGTGGTGCAGGGATGTGCTCAGGAGCAAGACTGTGTGGGTCCTTACTTGACCTCCAGCGCTGACAGCATGTGATCTTGAGCAAGTTCTACACCCTCACAGTGGCAGTTTCCTTCTTTACTAACTAGAAAATTGCCTGTGTCAGAGAGTTGTTGGGGGATTAAGTGAGTCATAGGGCCTGGCACATAGTAAGTACTTAATAAATGTTAGCTTTAATAATAAATGTTATCTTATTTTTTCCAGAAAAGATCCGTCAACAAAAAAACGAAACAGACTCAAGGTCCAAGAAATGTGCAGTTTCATAGATGCCTAAAGGAATTGTATTTAATTGATTTTCCACTCAGCATTTTCCTTTAAATTCAGTCTTCTAATGCCATAAAATTCTAGCAGTAGTATTGATTTTTAACTATGATGATGGTGGTGACAGGAAGCTCTACCAGATGAAAAAATGGTATTAGTACTTTCCAACTACAGAAATGAAAGGTCAGAAACTTTTTTCGATTTTTACTTAAAGCAAATTGTATATGATTTTTGCCTGTCATTTGATGCAATATATGTCTAGGTTTTGCACATCTTTTTTTTTTTTTTTAAATGTTGGTAGGAGCAGCATCCCGGTATATGAAAAATCCAAGAGATTTAGAATAGACAGACATATTTTTTTTTCTTTTTTTCTCTTTTTTTTTGTTGACAGACATGGTTTTAATCATGGTTTGCCCCTTTTATTAAAAAAATTTTTTATAAACACAGAATGTATTATTAGCCCCAGGGGTACAGGTCTGTGAATCGCCAGGTTTACACACTTCACAGCACTCACCATAGCACATACCCTCCCCAATGTCCATAACCCCACCATCCTTTCCTGACCCCCCTCCCCCCAGCAACCCTCAGTTTGTTTTGTTACATTAAGAGTCTCTTATGGTTTGTCTCCCTCCCGATCCCATCTTTTTTCATTTATTCTTTTCCTATCCCCCAAACCCCCCACGTTGCATCTCCACTTCCTCATATCAGGGAGATCATGATAGTTCTTTCTCCGATTGACTTATTTTGCTAAGCATAATACCCTCTAGTTCCATCCACGTTGTTGCAAATGGCAAGATTTCATTTCTTTTGATGGCTGCATAGTATTCCATTGTATGTGTGTATATATATATATACCACCTCTTCTTTATCCATTCATCTGTTGATGGACATCTAGGTTCTTTCCATAGTTTGGCTGTTGTGGACATTGCCTCTATAAACATTGCGGTGCACGTGCCCCTTCAGATCACTAGGTTTGTATCTTTAGGGTAAATACCCAGTAGTGCAATTGTGGGTCATAGGGTAGCTTTATTTTCAACTTTTTGAGGAACCTCCATGCTGTTTTCCAGAGTGGTTGCACCAGCTTGCATTCCCACCAACAGTGTAGGAGGGTTCCCCTTTCTCCGCATCCTTGCCAGCATCTGTCATTTCCTGACTTGTTAATTTTAGCCATTCTGACTGATGTGAGGTGGTATCTCATTGTGGTTTTGATTTGCATTTCCCTGATGCTGAGGGATGTGGAGTATTTTTTCATATGTCTGTTGGCCATCTGGATGTCTTCTTTGCAGAAATGTCTGTTCATGTCCTCTGCCCATTTCCTGATTGGATTATTTGTTCTTTGGGTGTTGAGTTAAGCTCTTTATAGATTTTGGGTGTTAAGCTCATGCATGGTTTGCCACTTATTAACTGTAATTCAAGTTCTCAGATCTTCAGTTCCTTCTTTATAAAATGGGGTAGTGTCTCACTCTTCCACAGCATTGAAGATCGAGGTTGAATGCCGATGAAATGCCTAATTTCATGCCCACTGTATTGAAATCATCCACTGTTATTTATCCTCAGAAAAATTAGTTTTGGAAATTTACAGTTACTGTTGGATTTAAATTACACGTATGTGTAGTATATTGCTTAGAAAAGACCAGTAGTGTATATACCAATGTTTGCTGTTGTTTTTTTAAATCTCTTGGTGATGTAATTACAGGTGATTTTCATTTACTTTGTACTTTTTGATACTTTCCAGGTTTTTTTTTTTTTTGACAGTCAGCATTTAGTATTTTTATAATCTGAGAAAATTATGAAATATGAAATCAGATATCAAGTTATATCAGTTTATCTGCACCTAGTCATTATAATTTAAGGCTCTCCATTTTCAAATTCTGATCTTAATTCTATAAGGCCAGAGATAAAATCCTGAGCAATATCAGTACACTTATTCTATCATGAATTTATGGTTTTACATCTTTGTCTCATGCTGATTGTAAATGGCTCACTTACTTTTATGAATGTTTAAAATAGGTAATATATCCACATGAGTCCAAAAAGTTTTTAAGAAAGGTATTCAGTGAAGAGTCTTGTCCTCATTTGTTCTTCAGTATGGATGGTTTCCACTGACCATGCTACTTGCTCCCTCTTTCAAAATCTGGGTAACCTCTTTATGCAAAAGTAAACAAATAGAATACATACTCTTACTGTGTAAGTGTTTTAGTTGTGGAATTTAACTTAGGCTAGCACTAATTATTTGCTTCCACCTTGGACAATATACAATCTCTAGAGCTTAAAGCTTAAAAATATGGTTATGATATTCTTAATTATAATATTCATAATATTCCTTTTAGTTTGTCCATATGGTTATGGCTTGGATATTAAAAACCATACCTAGTTGTCATCTAGGTTCCTCAAAAGGCACAGCCTGAGACCAAAGTCCATGAGTACTGTTTTTTAGGAGTGCAAATCCAAGGAAGCAAGACAGAAAAAGGGAGTGCGATGGGGAAGGTGGGTGAAATACCAAATTGGCTACCACTTGGTATGAAGCGTAACTGATCATCTGATTTCCAGGATACTTTCTTCTGAGAGAAGGGATGGACTAGTATACCTCGGGGCAATTCATACAGTGGAGAAAGGAAGAACTGATCTATTACCACAATGGGGTGTTAACTCCGGGCTGCATGAGTAGGCTCCAAGTGGAGCCTGTGGTCGGTTGTGCTTCTCTCGGAGTGCACGGTGAAGTCCTAGAGAAGAGCATGGCCGAGGTACGGGTAGCACAAGAGGCACTGTTGGTTTGTGTTTGTTGTAACTCCTGATGTGCTGTCTGCCACAGTGGTAGCTGGACCAGAATTCACAACAGTGCTGCAAAAGAAGGATCTAATACTCTAAGACACAATACTCTAATTCTTTTATTCTTTAATTCAGAAAAGCCTTGGTGTGCCATTTAGGAAATAGGATATTTGCCTATCTCACATTTATTCTCATGTTCTATTACAAGGTGAGACAGTAAGAAAAACTATTTCCTATAATAAAGTTAGAGCACAGAGCTAGATCACATTCAAAGTGAAACAGTCTTCTAATTAAGTCCATCCAATTCTGTTAAAGATATGAAAATTGAGGCTATGGACAGATTCTTTAGAATTGACTTGTTTTTATGTAAGCCAGAGTACTTTATGAAATTAGGAGGGGTGGGTAGGTCTGTTTCACAAGTGGTATCCTATGATTTATGACATTAAATGTCTGGCCCAAGATAACCCAGTCAGCCAGCAATAAAACCATTAGAAGCCTGGTCTTGCTTTCCTCAATCACTTTAACCCAGATGGTTTCTTCCACTGAAAAGTCTCTGCCCAGGCCTAGAAGGTTTGCTGAATTGCCTAGTGCTATACCCACTCCCATACGGCGATGTTTAGATGTTCAGAGAGAAAAAAGGCTCAACACCATACAGTTTCAGAAAGGCAAGAAAGAACATCAGAAATAGGATCATTCTAAGAGGAAATTTTTTCATGTTTCTGTGTCTCTTTTTGTGCTAGCAAAAAAATCTTTCCCTTTTAACATTAAAATTATTCATAGATCTTACCAATTCCCATTTTTAATTGTAATAATCTTAGGAAAATGAGGACTAATATACCAACATCACAGAAACTTTGTATTAAAATATCATTATTACTTTTTAATTTTAAAATAAAAATACCTTAATTCTATTTTAATATTTTTAGTAAAGTTCTCAGAGTTGACTTGGTAACACTGGAAATGATTGAGCCTTTTGGAAATAATGTTGAGAAACAGGATTTATATACTTTGATGATGTAATCAGTGACCGGCTAAACCTATTAAAAAATTAAGTCATTTTTTAATTTAAAAAAGTTTTACTTAATCACTTAAATTAAAAAAAATAACATTAAAATAATCCTACATATAGTTACAAAGGATGGTATGGCTTGAAAAAGTCTCTTGTAATTTTGAAAAGATGAACATGATGTATCCATGATGTTTTAAGAATATGAAATTTTAAAAATGAGAGACTTCTAATCCTCGGTAAAACCAGAAGAATTAAAAGATCTCAATATGTGCATATTCATTTTAGTCAACCACTTTTATGGAATGGATGCTTGTGAGAGACTGGGCGTGAGTTGACCTGGTTCCAAGGGATCTAGAAGCTGAGGTACTACTTTCAGGATGAATTGTCCGGGGATACTTTGCTGCAGCAGCTTGAGGAATGGTTTGCTGAAAAGGTAAAAATCTGCTTTAACAATCCCATAAAATTATACATATTAAATACCATTTCATTATATATAATTTAACCAAACAAACATTTGTTAAGCATCCAGTAGATACATGCAGTTAAGTTAGTAAAGCAGTCATTGAAACAAATAAGATGTGGTTCTTAATCCATATGTTAGACTGATGTGCTCAATACCCACAATTCAGTATCAGAGCCATATTCCAGAGGATCACAAAAAGAGCCACGGGAGTCATTCTTCAAAGAAGGCTCAAGTGGAATCTTGTAATGTTTATAGAAACCAACTACAGAAAGGGACTTTATAGTGTTTGGAAGACACCATCCCTCTATTCTAATCAATTTTCTCCTCCCTATTTCTGTTAACATACGGAGTTCAATCTCAGGGATCATGGGGAAAGCTCTGAGGAATCCTGCCTGGTCCTTGTTTCAAACCAGAGTAAAGCACATCTTTTATATATCACCCTGGTTCACCTGGGAGCTGACTAAACCTTTTCCTATCATACAAGAGGAGAATTTCCAGAAGCCTGGTGCTCCTTAGTGTGGATTACAACTTTCTATACAAATAACTAGACGTTGAGGAAATACGGTGAGAGGAGGATACCCACACCCTATCAGAGCTCAGGGGAACATCTTAGACCCAAGCACCGAAGCATTAGAGTCAGTACACAGTCGACTTCACTTTGTCTATACAAGTATGTATTATATGCATTCATATGTATAAAATGTACAAGTTTAAGGATTTCCTCTATTATACTGGATATAGCTTCTGAGTAGGCAGCAGTGGGACCTGTTATCCAATTCTCAGTCCACGTCACTGAGCAGTACATGTACATTCGTAGTATAGTCTTCCCCTTAGAAAAGTCATCCTTAAAATATCTGAAGCAAGATTATATGTACTTGATCAAAACATTCACTATGTATTTTAAAAACCCTTTACTTAAAAAACTTACTACAAAGGTCTTCATGACAGGTACTGCTTTAAGAGTTCCTCTTTAAGGAAATGGAAAAATGATTTCCTGTTTTAAGAGGTATTTTATATAAATGTTTCATTGTACATAAATAACTGGATAACCATTACAGATGGGGTAGATTCTTCCAGTTTCCATAACTAGTATGAAAATTTAGTTGCTAACCACCTAATCCGACCCCGTTAAAAGAGCTATTTCTCCTTGGGAAGGATGGGCAAGAGGAAATGTAGAAACAGATTCACCTTACCAGTGGCTGGTTTCATGATCTACAAAAATAGGCAGAGAATCAAGTAGCTTTAGGGACAAGCAGTTAGCCAGCAGATGGGGCTAAAGTGTCAGAAATCTGACTACTGGTTTATTAGTAATAATTGTTTCTGGTAGTTACAGGTCTTGATTTTGGGGATAAAATGAAAAGTAGTACAGAGGACTGCCATAGTGTCCGTTAAAACAATCCTGATTAGGTAATCATGTAAGCAGTTTATGGCTGTCTCGTTCATAACCAATTAACTGGAGAAGTACTATACATATTGAATCAGCAAAGGACAGCTAGGGAGGTGAATCTAAGAAACAGGGGTTTTAAGTCTTTTATTTCTATGTTTGTTTGTTTTCGTAGAATAAGAATAATCCTATCATTAGTACAAAAACAAAAGGCTGCCTAAATTAAAAGTAAGCATATATGTGGTCTCTTTATGTCTTCTTTATCTTAGAAATGGATAGTCCCTCTCCCTCTCTGTACACATATGTGCAGACAAAAATAGAAATGACTCAGTTGTTCTTATTTCTGATAACTAATCTCACATACTTAAACATATATTGAGAAGTCACTTAAGGACTTTCAGAGTCTACAACCTCTGAAGGCTGACACTCCTCCACCCTCCATATCCTCCCATCTGGACTTGGTGCCTCAGTCTCCACTTCACTGTGGTCATTCTTTACCTGAGGCTAAATTTAAACACTCCAGCTCCTCTTAATCATCTAGCAACCATCTAGTGCCAGAAAGAAAAGGATGTAAACTTATTTCACATATATTTTTGCTAATATTTTGACATAGTATGTAGACAGGAGTGTTGTCTAATATTGAAAATTTATAAAGGGGGCATTTTCTTTTAAAGTCAATTCTTGTTGGTCTTTAAGGATGTGATCTTGTAACTTTCAAAAATTAAAACTTTTTGAGGCAACTGTTGATTCATATGCAGTTTAAGAAATAATACAGAGGTATCCCATGTACCTTTCTCTAGTAATTTTTATTAAGTTAAATCTGCTTATGGTTTTACAATTTATAAAGTGTCTTTATTTTTTTAAGGGTATCTCATTCAATTTTCACATTATCTCATTTACTCCTGAATCCAGATAATAACTCTAGGAGCTAAGTATTCTTAACACTCCCATTTTACACAAGAGGAAATGGAAGCTCAAATATTTTTCTTGATTTGTATATGATCACAAAGGCAGTAAGTAGCAAAACTGAGGCACTAACTCAAGCTTTTTTGTTTATTTTTGCTTAAAGTCCAAGTGTTTTCTTTTCTATCACGTGAATTTACTGCAAACCCTTAAATTTTTTTTGAAACTACAAGTATGCTGACAGTTATATAGAAAAAAGGGGAAGAAGACTTAAAAAAAGAGCAAAAAATTAAAGACTATAGAAATAGGGAAGTGTTTCTTGTAATCAAATACCTGCTACAGAAACAGCAGGTAATGAGGAAACTGCTTTTGTCTCTCTTTTTAAATTAATGAGAAATCATTTGTCTCTTTTGGTCACCAACATAGTGGATAACTTTTTGTGTTGCTAATTTTTACACTGTTGAGAAGAAACAACATTTCTGAAATTAATTTTTTTAAAAGAGGAAAGGTAGATTTAGAGCAGGTTTGAGAATTATAAGTATATAAAGTACCATAATAAAGGGTAGAATAAGTAAGAGTCATCATGAATTTTCATCTTTTCCTTAACATGTAGCTTAAGTGCTTATTGGTCTATAAACTCTAAGGAAAAAGATTTTTTGACAAAGGTCATCAAATATGTACTCACCACTGTGACTGGATGATGTTTTTCCACAACAACTGAGCTCATGGGAGGAGAAACTCCCATTATAGCTAAGCTGCTACTAACTCTGTTTTTTGAGGCAAAATCACATCTCCCTGTGATCCGAGCTGTAATTGTTCTTCCAGCTTTCTGTTGTGCAGATGTCACAACTCTGGGCACATACTAAAAAAACAAAGAAATATCCAGCTGGTAGAAAAATCCATAGCAAAATATATAGTACTTTTGCTTCTGTAACTTGTGAGGGAAATACACAGGCACTTAAAAAATAATTGTATATTAACCAACTTTAACATGGAAAAAATAAAGCAATCAGACAAAAAGCAAAATATAGAACCAAGCACCCTAAAATGCCCCATTAATTGGGTGTACCAACCATTTTATAGGATTTTATAAACTTTTTATAAACTCTTCATTCTGAAATACAGATTCATAGGAAGTTGCAAAGATAGTATAGAGAAGTCCTGTATATTCCTTACCTGGTTCCCTGCAAGGATTACATCTTATAAGTATAGTATAATTATGATGTCAAAGCCAGAAAGCTGACATGGGTAAAAATGCCTTGGTATTATAGATCCATGTCATTTTTATCACGTTTGATTCCTGTAACTATCACCGTAATCAAGACACAAAACTATTCTAGCACCACAGTTTCCCTCTTGTGAACTTTTAGGATCATATCCATTTCCCTTCCTCATCCGCCCTTAACCCTTGGCAACCATTATTCTGTTTTATGAATGCTTTTGATCCTTATGTATAATTAACTTTATGCATATGCCTCTCATTAGACATATGCTTTTGTGTTTTTTCTTATTGCTTTGTTAATATACTTTTCCTCACGAATACAGAGACCTGTTATAACTTTTTTTTTTAACAGATTTTTAAAATTTATTTATTTATTTGACAAAGAGAGAGAGAGAGAGAGCACAAGTAGGCAGAGAGAGAGGGGAAGCAGGCTTGCTGCCGAGGAGAGTGCCCGATGTGGGACTCGATCCCAGGACCCTGAGATCATGACCTGAGCCGAAGGCAGAGGCTTAACCCACTGAGCCACCCAGGCGCCCCATGTTATAACTTTTAATGAGAGGTTTTAATAACTGACAAACGAAGGTTTATCTAACTCAGTTATTTTCCCACTATAAAAGGAAACAAAATTTTTGTAAATGGGGATTCCCCTTTTGAGTTTTTTCTATAGAGTATTTTGCAAAAATGAGATGATCATATCAAAAGGTAATGTCAGCTTATACAGCTTTTGTTACTTACTGCTGGATGATACTCCAGAAAGATATTTCTATCAGGAATAACATATATATTTAATTTGTGGTTCCTTATTAATTTTTCATATTTGCAGTTCATTTTCTCAACTATCCATGTTCTTTAATTACTTGCCAGGAATGGGTATTGCTCTCAAAAACGTTTAACTGCTCCTGATATAGGTACTTATAGTATTTTCCCTATTTCACTTACCTGTTTTATTTTTTAATGCACATAAATTTTAAAAATTATAGCTAATTTTATCATTAATTTCTTCCATAATTGAATCAAACAGCTTCCCTTGGACAGCTGGGGTACTTATACTCTTCTAACATTTACTTATTTGGTTTAACTTATTAAAACATGTGAAATTTCAGTGTGAATTATGAACCTAAATTAATTTTCCCTCTAACCATAGTTTTTCCAAAAGCATTATTAGTGATCTTTCCTCATTGTCTCGTCTATCTGAGGTTTCATTCATTGAAGTTCTTTATATATCTGCATCTAGCTACAGATGGTTACAACTGTATACTGAAAGAGGATGACGTGCGTTCCATGAAAAATGTCTGGGAAAATTAAAATGACAGAATATTGATATGTCAGGAAGACCCTGGGAAAACAGCACTCAGTGAGGTTTTGTAAATCCTTGGAGAGTTTGGATTTGAGACTTACTTAGAGTTGCAGAGAAAACCAAGTAAAGACAAAAAATGAAGGGATCAATTCCAGGAACAAAAAACTGTACTAGAAAGGAAATATAGGCATAATGTACATTTGTAGCTTAGCCATATTTACATCGTCATCATAAACTTTAACTTAATGCAAAGTTGGAATATTTGTATTTAAATATATAAGTGGAGGAACGCCTGGGTGACTCAGTAGGTTCAGCATCCGACTCTTGATTTTGGCTCAGGTTATGATCTCAGGGTTGTGAGATCGAGCCTATGTTGGGCTTTGTGCTGAGCGTGGAGCCTGCTTAAGATTCTCTGCTTAAGATTCTCTATCTCCTTTTCCCACTGCCCCTCCCCCTGCTTGCACTCTCTCTCTCAAATACATACATACATACATATAGTGGATGAGGGGGGGAAGGGAAGGAATAAGGTGGTATGAAAAGGCCAAGTTCTTCCATCCATAATAGGAAGTCAACAGATAATGTCTGAAACTGATGCATGTGGAATGATATGAGCATATAATTTAGGGAAAAAAGGGTAAATAGGAGAAACAACTAACAGAATTTAGGGAGAGATATTTAGACGACTGCTTCTCATATATACTTGCAGAAACTATTTGGCTATTTAAATTTTTTTTTTTTAAAAGAATTTATTTATTTGACAGAGTGAGAGAAAGAGAGAGAGCACAAGTGGGGGGAGCAGCAGAGGGAGAGGGGGAAGCAGGCTCCCTGCTGAGCAGGGAGCCCAATGCGGAACTCGATCCCAGGATCCTGAGATCATGACCTGAGCCAAAGGCAGAGGCTTAACCCACTGAGCCACCCAGGTGCCCCGGCTATTTAAATTTTTATGGGTCTTATGAATTTAAGAAACCGAAACTCTGATCTTAAAATATTTACAAATATGTTTTTGTGTACTTTTACTTTTGACCTTAGGAAAACCTTATCCTATTTCTTATTAAAGTACAAAAAAGACTTTATGAACTGCTAAAGAGTTTTAAAAACCATATACAAATGTAAAACTGATTGCAGGTAAGAATATTTTTATGAAAAAATTAAAAACTGAAGTACAATTAAGCTGATAACCATATTGCTGCCCAGTCACATTTGAGGGGTATAAACACGCCCAACTCTAACAGGTGTTCTTACTTGGAGGATGAAAGAATGAAAGAAAAACTAGGTAAATTTTGACAGGGAAACATGTGGCATGAGAAAAACTAGAGTAGCTAGGAAAATGTCCATGGGTGATAACCTTCATCCAGCTAGCTGAGAATTGCTTTCAAATGCCTTTGGTAGGGGGTGCCTGAGTGGCTCAGTAGGTTAAGCACTTGCCTTTGGCTCAGGTCATGATCTCAGGGTCCTGGGATTGAGCCCCACATAGTGCCTAGTGCATACATAGTACTTAGGCTCCCTGCTCAGCGGGGAACCTGCTTCTCCCTCTCCCTTTGCTCCTCCCCCTGGCTCGTGCTCATTCTCTCTCTTTCTCTCTCACTCTCTCAAATAAAATCTTAAAAAAAATAAAATAAAATGCCTTCAGTAAGATGAAAAATACATATTCTAGTAAAGAACAATAAGGACTAAAAAGAAACCTCTATCACTTTTTTGAAATAGTTGTCTTAATTGACTTGCATGTTTACCAAGTCTGCTTTTTGTTTTCAAATAGTTTGTTCTATAATCAGATTGCATTGCAAGTTCTGTTAGGTTCTTGCTTTACTTACAAAAAGTGAAATTGGAAATTACAGAAAAAATAATCCACTTAGTATAGCTTATTTAAAAGAGATGGCTTAATTACAATCTGTGAACCCATACTCAGTTCAGCTACACTAGCAAATACTCACACTCATGTTTGAACATAAAATGATGTGTAAGATATATATATATAATTTTTTAAAATTTCCTGCTTTAACTTTTTTTTTTAACTGACTTTTTAACTAAAATGACCACTTACTGGTCCCAGTCATGTTGAATCACATTAAATTTATCAGCTTAATTGACTTTAAAAATGCTATAAAAATGTAAATTCTAGCATTTTATGCCATATCAACAAAAGCAACAAAATCAAAAGGATTAAGAAAGAAAAGGAAAATGACATATTTTTAAAACTCATTATTTTATCTTAATAATTGACATGGAGACAAACTCAATTATTGGTTAAGAAACAGGGTTCTAGGGGCACCTGGGTGGCTCAGTGGGTTAAGCCTCTGCCTTTGGCTCAGGTCATGATCCCAGGGTCCTGGGATTGAGCCCCGAATCGGGCTCTCTGCTCAGCGGGGAGCCTGCTTCCCCCTCTCTCTCTGCCTGCCTCTCTGCCTACTTGTGATCTCTGTCTGTCAAATAAGTAAATAAAATCTTAAAAAAAAAAAAAAAAGAAAGAAAGAAAGAAAGAAAAGAAACAGGGTTCTGTGGTCAAACTGTCAAAAGTCTGAATTCCAGTTCTGTTACTGCTTATATCCACAGGCAAGTTACCCCTCCCTCTCTCTAAACCTCAGTTTCCATTTATAAAATGAGGAAACCAGTGCTGGGTGCCTAATGATACCCTCTTACTTTACATTCAGATGAAGAGGAAAGTTAAGAGGGGGCCTCAGTATTACTAAAGAGTTTAAAAATCCAACTGAAACCTCTCAACTATTCCAACTGGGAGTTAGAAAAAGAATAAAGTGTCTGTCACCCATTGTCCAGCCTTGTGAACTGCAACATATTTGCTTGTATAACTGCCTAATCTATTTCTTGAAGAGTGCTTCCCACCATGAAATTCTGGCATTTTATTTAACATACTGAGGATGTCTGCAGAAATTAAAAATTTTGCAGAGGGAAGTGTTATTTTACTAGGACGGTAATCCTCCTTTCTCCAGTTATTTGTTTCCCAGGCTTTGCAGTTTATTCTCTGTAAACAGCTCCTTTCAGCTACTGAAAATACTAAGACTGGAAAAAGTTTTGAATAGTTCCTAGGAAGCCTCTGTGATTAAAATGAAAAGATAGATAACCAGGCCTACCTCACAAATCTCTCCGTTCCTAGTCCCAACAATGACAGTTTCACATTAGGTAAGCTAGCCAACTAATGTCCTTGTTCATTTTTTTTTTTGTTATTATGGTTTTTTAAAAATAAGGAGACAAATCTGAGGTAAACCTGAATCTGAGGACTGTAATTATATAAGGAAGGAAGAAAATTAGCATTATACTTAGAGTGATTTACTTCTGATTTTCCTCTCCCCCTAACCCTAAAGGCTGTATTTATGTGAACAAAATTGAATGTGTATCTATTAATAGAGGAGGATGTAGTTGAAAGGGCTGTCTCCACAATATTGTGTTTTTCAGGTTTCAAAGACTTCAAAATTATATCAAATTATTTCAAAAAGTAACAAATAGGATGGTAAACATACTCATTCATTTTCTTCCTGTGCATGTTCAGGTTTATACATATATGCAGATGTACAAATGGTGTAGACATACTTGAAGGGAATTTTTGAAAAATTTACGTCTGTGTATTATCTGAATATGCAACATGAATGACAAACCAGAAATTTAAATAAACACTCACTGTATTTACTTAAATGAAATCATCTGTATAGAATCACACTTGAAAATGTGTAATCATGAAAAATAAACACAGCTGAACATATGTCAGAGTTGAATTTCAGTGTCTTATTTCTAAGTCAAAACTCCCTCACACATTCAAATTTCTCTTAACAGCTATATTTTTTAACCTCTTTGAATCAAGAGCAAATGTGATGAATAGCAGATCTCAACGTATTTTCCCCCTAAAGTTAGTAGCTTCCAAAAGGCAGAAATTCATGTCAGCTGGAATACTCCAGATGGACAGTTGTCTGGCTGACTCAATGCCTTCCTTAGCTACAGAGAGCTGTCCAGGGCAATGGCAGCTTCTGATGGTCTGCCAGGAGAGCTTTGGGACATCAAACCTATTCTGCCATCTTCCTTCCTCTCAGGTAAGTGCTTGGGGTCAGGGAGGAGAGGGACACAAGCAAATCAGAATCATCTCAGGAGCTTTCTAAAACTAGACATGCCTTCGTGCCTAGGAGATACATTGTTTTTTAAAAAGCCCAGCAGAAGTGAGTCTGATAAGTTTGGATTGTATCTCTACTCCCTTTACTTTTGAGAACTGCTGTTTATAAAGAATACAGGTTTAACAAGGGGACCCTCAGGAATCAGAACCTTGACATGCTTTGTAACTCTTCCATATTAATTAGCTTGATTAATTCCCCTTCAGGCAAGTTCTCACACAAATACTCCCATTCAACAGTTCTATGCTCTATGCATTTCTCTTGAAAGAAGCTCAGTGACTAGGAAAAACTTCTCCCATCTTTATTCCAACTGTGAATTACAAACACAAACCTACTCAAATCAAGATGGAGTAACTACAGAATAGTATTAATGATATAGCTACATTCAGGGAAAGGGAAAGCTGTAGTTAAATATAAAATATTCAAAAGAGCCATTAATCTTCTAAGCTCTTGAAAATACATATCCATAAGAGTTCCCTTCAAAATAAAGTCTGTCATCAACTCTTTCTCAAATCTATTTTTCCTGACTAATTCTTGAAAAATGTGAAATGAAGAAGTTTTTAATTCTCACTACTGTAATAGAACTCTCAGCCATTATTTTCATTTAAAATTGTTTTAGCTACTTCATATATTAACTATTTTCTGTGGCTGGGCCTAAATACCATATAGAATTTTCCTTCATGGGAAAGTATGTCCTAACTGAAAAATCTCCAATATACATGCAAGTTTTGAGCCCTTTTCCCCACACGGGCACCTGTATTAACCGTACTGACCATTTCTTCTGGTGCAGCAGCAGCTGTAGACCCGGAGCCAAGAGTTGCAGAAACCGGAAGGTGAGCAGAGGAAGCAGAAGTGGCCCCAGCAGAAGTGATGGAGGCAGCGGAGGTAAAAGCAGAGGCGCTGGCCGCTCCCATGGCTGCTGCTGGCGGGGATGGTGGCAGTGCAACCACTGAGGGCATCTGAGGGGCCAGAGAATCTGACTGAGAAGAATGTTCTTTGCCTTGAACGCCAGGGCCATACTCTTCTTTTTTATTTGTGAAGTCTATCCCTACAAATTGCAAAATAATTCCATTAACAGTCTTCCAGATTAAGATTCCTTTTATGCCCCCCAACAATGAAAATACATAATAGCTGAAATTTGGTTCTAAAGAAAATGTAGGAATCTGTCATGTATTGCATATAATGTTTAGCATTATTAACTGGTTAATGTTAGCATTAACCACTAAAGACTAAAGACCATTTCCTTCAATATGTGAAAACTAATAAAGATTTGCTCTTATGTAAAAGATTAAAAATAAGTATGTACTCAGCTAGGATGTCAGCTGAGTAAATGTATTCCCAAAACAGCCATTATAATAATATGGTCACACTGAGTCTAAGGATTCATTCTGAACCATTTCATACAACTGCCTGGTATTTAGATCTGTAGAATTTTTTTCTGATATCACTATACCCTCTCATTTCCATCTGTTGTTCCTATCCAAACAAAATCAATATATTTTAAACTTGATTTTTCAGCAAACAAAAACAAATCAGTAAATAACACTAAAAATCAGTAACACTAAAATTTTTACTTTTAACTTTGTAAAAGAAATCAGTTCTTGCAAGTTGATTAAATAAACTCATGGATTAGGTATATTTGCACACTTAACTAATTTTAGTGGCACCCTATATAGTAACCTTCTCTCAAAAATGAACCTTACCCTTGGATCAAAGGAGCAACACTGGCTTCCAGAAGCTAAACCAAAGCGTTTCTTCATATTTTAGATCCCACACCACCCCCCCCAGTATTATAAGCACTGTATAAGTATTAAGACTGTATAAGACTGTATCTATGTAGCACCCAACACTAGGGTGAGGGTTTGGAAATTCAGTCACTGAGATGCTTCAGAATGTCTGAACAGAGGGTGTTCTACGGCCCTACGTTTAAATAGTTTTTGATGTTATCCTCTTTGTATTTGAAATTTGGGCTTCTGTAAGTCCTTCTCTTAGGCTATCTTTATATAAAACAGAGTAACAGTACCTCATTAACAAAGCTGAATGAGAATTATAATTCATAGATCTTTTGAAATCCTTTGATGAGAGGGACTAATTCAAAAAAAGTACTGCTTTTTACTTTAAAAGCAAAACAGAGTTTTAACATGCTTTTGATAGCAAGTGATTCTGATTGTGTCTTTTTAGGTGGGTGGCAGACTTAATCAGATGTGGACCAAGTACAAAGGTGAGTTCTCATGATGGGATTCCCTGGAATAGAGGTAGCTGACTAACTCTTGCTAATGTGGGCTGATTTATGCAGTTCCCTTTTGGCAATCACTGTAATTTAAGATTAATAAATATTCTCGTTTTAACTGGGATAAGTTTTTTCATCTGTAAAGCATTTTTCTACTTTTCTAAAATTGCTTTAATATTTGGCAGGTACCATTTAAAGGCCATTTTTATTGTCACATTTGCCTTCTCCATAAAACTTCTAATTTCCAATCTTTAAGATTTAGGATACTACACAGATTTGAGATTCAGGATTTAGGATTTAGATTTAAGATTTAGGATACTACTGAGATGCACTGCAGATCATGGACAGCAGAAAATCAGGACACACAAAAAAACAAGTATTTGTTCTGCTGTGACAAGATAGATACATCATTTTTAAAAACTGCTTTAAAAAAAACAGTTGTTTTAGAGGAAAAAGGGCCAGAAGTAATTTTATCTTGTTAGAATTAAAATTTTTTTAACGCTTTTAATGAAATGCCACAAAATTACAAATCACAGAGCAAACCTTGCATTAGTTAACACTGAACTTCTGCTTTTGGTAGCTTTACCAACACTACTGCTAATGTGTCTTACTTTCCTGTCATTTTTATCCCCCATTGTGATGACAGCCACTCAGAACAATTAAGATCCCAGGACTTGGCATTAACTGCAGATAAAAGGAGATTTAAAAGCAACAGGGGCAAAACAAATCATGTTGTGTAATTATCAGAATACTTTTTCTCCAAATCCAGTTCTGGATATTTGCCTGTAGGAGACAAAGCTGTATCTGAATTTAAAAATTTAAGACAGTAAAGTTATTAAGGTGGTAGAACACTCTGTCCTAGTCAATTCATAATCTTCTTATGTAGGTTATGAGAAACAGGTCTCTTATAATTGAATGTAGGAAGTATAATTTGTCACTTGTGAAATCTAGGATCTGTTAGAAGTAGATAATTAAATTCTTCAATTTAATACATATAACTTGCTAATAATTACAACTGGTGGTGGTGAGTTTGTTTTCACTGTTGACACTCAATTAAAAGACCATTTATTGAAGAAATCAAGTACTCCTTTGGGTATTAGCAAGATAAACTATTCTGCCCTGAGATTCTAGGATTTCTCACTGCTTCAGAAAAAAATTATTGGCCTTAACTTGCTAGTATCCACACCACATGCAATTTAAATAATAAATGTTTGAAGATGTTTTAAAATAAAGGTATGACAACCACAGAAAAGTTATTCACTGGATTGGAATGTTAATGATGTTCTAAATGAAACTGTGTCATTGATAAACTGTGAATCTCAAATATGATTTAATATGAGGATATACTGCAAAAAACTGTTCACATATTTACATAAAACAGGTTGATGTGAATTAAGATAGTGATAATTTTATCATTGCTATCATCTTACATGTCAAAGTATGTTTTGTCTTTTAAAGAGCTTCCAATTATATTTCACTGCATTTCCAAAAGAACCCTCTGTGAAGCAGGTAGGGAAGATTTATATTATCTTCTTTGCTCAGAGCAGAATATTAAAACTCACTAAGGAAAATAGGCCTCGGTGCAAATTAGTGGCAAAGACTCTAGTCATGTGCTATTCTAAGCCCTGCTGGAGAAACACCCACATAAACCACAAAGATTCCAGCTAATACAGGGACTTCTCTTTTCTTGAAATAAAATTATTTTACTTGACTGTTGTAGATAGGCCTATATTTATATTTGTTGAAAATTAGTTTTAGTTGGGGTCTCTCTTAAACTGAAAACGAGAATTTTTAAAATGGGAAACCATGACTAGATAAATATTTAATAAACAAAATGGTCCAAGGAATTTGGCTACTTAAAAAAATAAATAAAAATTTTGTACTTGAAGGCATTGCAGTTATTAGTTAAAAGAGCCTTAAATACTGTTTTGTATTCAAAACATCATTTTAACACTAAGCCAAAACACTTAAGAGTTGACAGTTTACTTGATCAGATCTAAGATACCATAAATAACCAAAACTGAGTGAATTTTCAAGGCAGATTTAAAACTGGGTATGACACCACCAAGTTAAAAATACCAGTACCTGGACAAGACATAGTCATTGCAGAAAATCAGTACTACAGACCACATCAATCACTGAAATCTCCTCAAATCCTTTTTGAAAGTAGGCAGAGAACTTTATACAAAGTAACTAACCTGTATCACCTCTGTTTTGAAATATAGTCATGGCTTCGAGATTTAATGCACACACACCCCTCATGAAAGCTTTCTTCATGGAATCTTCAAAGTGCTCTTTTTCTTGCTGCATTCTTTGAATCTCAGCTTTTGCATTTTCCAAAGCTCCAGATAACTAAATAAGGGGAATTTTTGAAAAGAAGATGATTGAGACACAAGGAAGGATATCAGTCAAAACACAGACTTACACTGTGAAGTTATTTTTTTTTTACAAAAAGCAGGCTATGTTTATTTACAGTCACAAGGAGTTGACTGACTCAGTGTGACTCAAACTGCAAGGAAACCATTCTACTTCACTCCATTCTGAGTCCTATGGTGGCCTAGACTGGCCGGAGTGCTGCCTGAGCCCATTCACAGGTTTATTAGTTTCTCAGTGAGGGCAATCTGTGACTCTCTGAGACTGGCTAAGTGGCTGTTGAACATGGTCTCAAAGTCACTGGGAATTATCTTGGGTACTTGGTGACCCAGACTCCTCAAGAAATGGACCGTGGTATTGTCAGCTGACACCCTTCCAGACAGCACATCCTCTGTGTACTGCAACACTATCAGGGCATCCCAGATGTGAACTGATGCCCCTCAGGCTTGCTGCAGATTGCTCGAGAGTCTGAACATCTGGTTGGGGCTCAAATAGGTCTTCATGATCAGGTTGACTCTAATGTGTTCAGTGTCATAGTATGCCTATTTCACTGTCAGAAGTGTGAACATTACCCTCATGGTACTCCCAGGGACACCCATTAAAGTGCTGACCTAGGCCTTGCTGCTCAGAGAGGCTGGTGCCCACAGTGAGGTGAATGGGAATGGGGACTTCCCTGCCATAGTACTTAACAGCACAGGGTGCTCTGTAATGTCACGACCTGCTGGGTACCAGCCCAGGATGAGCTCATTTGGAGAGACTTTCTTGTGTAACTCATACACATTCTTAGTGAATTTCATGTCAACAACTACTTCATCTTTTGATTCATTGGGAGGTACTGAAAAGAAGCTATTAGTGCCTTTCGTTGAATGCTTGTCAACAGTTCTCAACAGGGTCCCGAAAACTCAGGCTGTGCTTCTACGCATTGTCGCTCTTCACAATGGAGGCCAAAATGACCTGGCGTGGCTGGACCACGTGGCTGCAGTGGGGAGAAGGGAAGAGGACTAAGGGGCTGCACAACAGCTGGAGCTGAGCCAGTGCTGGTGCTGAAGCCAGGGATGGGCTGGGGTTGGGGCTGGGGCTGGAGTGGTGGCAGGAGTCCTTGCTGGCACTGTTAGTGTGGCCCTCTTGTCAAGCTCTGAAGTTATTCTTATGTAAAATACTAAAAACACTTTACCTCTTCCATCACGTATCTCAATTTATTTTAAAAGGTGCATTTTTACCTCTTACTGTCTCTATCAATAAACCATTTTCATTCCTAACCATAAAATCAAGTTTCAAACAAGGGGAATTTCATGCTGGTCCCACCAAAGGTTGTTGATGTGTTTTAATTATACCGATAGATATGTCATTTCTTACCATAAAACTTTTATGCAGACTATTAAGCAAAATACATTAAAAGCCACAGACTCTCATCTCTTCAGAAAAAAAATACCTAAATGCACTATTAAGAGAATTTTTCTTTCATTCTTTCTTTTTAATTAAACATTATCTATAGAATTTACAGGGCAAAGTGACATTAGGTACAATCCCATAGGCCAAATCTCAAGGGACTGCATTTTTCTTTTTGCAAGTCATCTTGAATTGCAGCAAACTATTTATATAATGAATATTATTTTTAACGTTAAGAACTTAGTCCTATAATGATGAAAAAAGGGTTTTAATATTTGATTTCAAGAGGCCCTCTGCAAAAAAAACCATGGTTTTTATTTAATTTTGGGTCTCAAATATTTTCCCTTGGAAACAATGGTTATTTTGTTAATAAAAGTCAGTGGGAAAATGACTTCAATTTATATGCAACTGCTTATCAGAACATAATTTACTTACATTAACATAAGGATAAACATTTTTGTTTTGGGTCTTTATTTTTGGCTCAATAAAGGCCAAGTAAAGAAGCATAAGAAAGCATGCTTTCTTAGAAATGTAAGGGTCTATAGGTGATTTCCAAGGGAAGTGTACATTTGAGAGAGCCAACTAAAGTTTGGAGGTCAGAGTTAAGTTAGTCTTAACTAGTGTTCTCTGCCAGGAAGTCTCATTTGAATCTACATGGCATTAAATGGAACTGGAGAAATGGGTTACTCTGCCTAACTATAAACAGTATTTTATCTTTTTAATTTTTATTAAAAGAAATTGAAAGTATAAAAACAAGTTTACCACAGCGACTCTGGTTTCATAATCATTGGAAATCTGGACACAAACTTCTTCCGCTCTTGCTTGACAAGCTCGTTCTACCACATCTTTCCACTGTTTCTGTACTATGGATCTCCAGCCTTTCCAGACTTTCTTCAGTAAAGTTCTCTGGAAGTACTGGTCAGCTAGTTTACCTTCATAGGCCTAAATGAAAGTAATATACAACCTCAAAAACACAGTAACTGGTAAATATATTGGCAGTGATATTAAAAAACATAATGAAACCCTGAGGTAAGCAGTGTATATACATTATCATCTAATCCTGTATAATCATATTATTCTCATTTGCAGACAGGAGAACAGGCTTAGAGAGAGGTTAAGTAACCTGCCCAGGTCACACAAATAGAAAGGGAAAAGCCAGCCTCACCTCATTTCAGAACCTAAGCTCTTATCCTTACATCACTGCTGTATGCCACCCATCAAGTTAGGAGGAAAAAAAAAAAAAAGAAAAGAAACGAGTAACTTGACATTGGCATTATGAGTCTGTATCACCTTTCAGCTGAAAGCAGGTCTAGGCGAAGGACAGAGTGGCTGCAAGGCCGAGAAGGTGGGGCCTGTGGCTTTACATGCCACTGCTTCCTCTTCCACCTGGTGGCCACCGCCATAAGCAAGGCTAATTTAATTCACACACTTTGCCATCAAATAGAGTGCCAAATAGATCCAGATAGAAGCATATGCCAGTCTTCTTTTATCAATGGATTGAAATTCTTCTGAAGTAGTTCCAGTTTCAATTTTCTTAAATTTGAAAAGCTATTCAAAAACTGATGGTAGCCTCAAGTATTTCAACTAACATTTAAACATAATATATTCTCATCATTTCACTTGATAAATAACTTTTAAAATATGGCATTCTCATTTAAATAGCTCGTTTCAATATGTGTAGGTTAGTGTAGAATTAATCTACCAGGATTAATAAAAAACAATGAAAGCATAAGAAAGTATCCTTTAAAGAGAAATCCTGTTCCATAATAGAGTAGCCTTTTCCTTAAGTATTAATTTCTTAGAAGTAAACGCACAGAGATCATTCCATGGCTCACATGAACATCAAATAAAACACACATACACACACACACACACACACATCCATCCCCTATACTCTTGAGTCTCTATACTGTCTTCTTGTGGGATATACATAAATTCTCATACTTTTCCACTTCTGATATTGTAACTTACTATTCTTGGTTTATATTTACTCTGCTATCCTGATTCAGCTCTTATTAAAATAAAGATGTTCAAGTTTAAATTATAAACAAACTAAAGAATTTTTAAGAAGCTATATAGACACAGTTTTCTTTGATTCTCATCTCTAAGGCAAGTCTACACAATAAACATTCACACAATTTTATAATATATTGATACAATACTGCCTCTTTATGAAGAAGATATATTCAGGCATTTCTGAAGGAGAAACAATATGATATGTTAAAGATTATAAATTCTTTCTCCTCATAATCACATCTGACATTAAATTTGTTAAAGGTATTCCATGACATGGGCATCTATTAGTCAGGTAAGATCCTTACTAACTTACTACAAAGTGGGAAATGAAAGATCAATTGATCTATAAAAGAGGTGTTTTCCCCAAACTATACTAAAATTCTTTGAAATAAGAGCGACATTAAATTATAAATTCATTTTGATTAGAAAATAAATCTTTCTTTAGCTTTAACAATAACTCTAAAATGTGATCCTAAACCCTTTTGAGTTTCAGAAGTCTAATATCTGTCAGTTATCATTTTGTTTTTATACTTACATCCTGTCTGCATTTAACATGGCCAATTCGCCAGTGGAAGAATGTTCTCATCAACTCTATCCTTTCCTTTTGCTTCCCTATGGCATGAGACAAGCTAGAAATCACCTGTAAATAGCAATTAACTCAATTATTGTGTTGTTACAATAATAGTAATTTGTAAAGTGATTTTCTCATTTATCAAAAAATGCTCAAGAGAATACTTATGCATCACTTGTATATTCATCCAGTTAACCTCTTTATTATCTGTAAAAAGGCCAAAAACCTTGACTACATGAATGCACTACATATCAATGAATGAAAAGGAACAAAAGAAAAGAAAGAAAAATCTTCATTATGTGTATCTTGGCAATCATAAAAAAAGTTTACATATATGAAAATTAATATAGTCACTGGCATTTAATTCAAGAAAGACAACTACATATTTGAATATTTTGCTACATATACACAAAGTCCCTGTTCACTAGACTTGAGGGTAGCGACCAGCGTTTTAAACATCTTTCTGGTCCCTAAATACTTTTGGTACTTTGGATTAGAAGTTGCTAAGGATTTTCTAGATTCAACAAACTCAAAAAAGCAAACAACAGTTATACTATAATGTTCTTCTTCAGTTTTTCCTGTTCTTTTTTTTTTAAACCTATGAAGACTTTTAAATTTTAAAACGATATTCTCTCTTACAAAGAACTGAGAAGCCGAAATATATTTTTTAAATTGGCCACATTAAAGCAAGATTTAGTAAATTGGGCATATTTACTGAAAGACATTTATTCTGGCTCTTCTTCAAATAATTTTCAAAAGTGGAAAAGGGTATACATGCTAAGACATTAGTAATATTCCATTTCTTGAGCTCTATAATGGTGCATAGCTGTTTATCTTACTCATTTTCAAACTGGACCCATGTATACTCTTTTGTGTGTGATACTTTGAAATTGAAAAATATATATTTAAAATATTTTGGGGCGCCTGGGTGGGTCAGTCAGTTAAGTGTCTGCCTTTCTCAGGTCATGATCTCAGGGTCCTAGGATTGAGCCCTGTGGCAGGGAGCCTGCTTCTCCCTCTGCCCCTCCTGCCTGCTCATGCACTCTCTCTCAAATAAATAAATAAAATCTTTAAACTTAAATATTTTAAAACCTTAGGAAAGAGTTTTGAGGGCAATAGAGAAAATGACTGATGTTAGTATCTATTGTTTCAAAAAAGTAAATTAAATGTTTGATTTTATATAATACCCTGAACACCAAAATAAATATATATTTTTAAAAATATATAATCTTTATCTAGTTCATTAAAACAGTAAATGCTGCATCTGCAGACAAATAGCTGGCATTGTCTCTGAAAACCACCATGGTGGGGGAAGGGTGGGAAAAACAGTGGATATATTGCCCATTCTGCTATTGAAGGTGCTGTCGTGAGGTACAAAATTAGTAAAGACCGGAACCTTACTCTTTTGTTCTTAAGATCCTAAAAGAAAGTGAAGTACAAAGTATTCTCTGTGTGGGGTGTCTGGGTGGCTCAGTCTGTTAAGCATCTGATTCTTGATTTCAGCTCAAGTCATGATCTCGGGGTGGTGACATTGAGCCCAGTGTTGGGCTCCTCTCTGGGCGTGGAACCTGCTTGAGATTCTCTTTCTCTCTCTCCCTCTCCCTCTGACTCACCCACCCTTTGGGCACTTGTGCTCTCTCTTTTAAAAAAAAAAGTGCTCTCTGTGTCTGTAATAATAGGAAAAAATTTTTATCAATGAATAAAGACATAGCACAAATAAAATGTGATATACTTAAAATGGCCCCTAAAAACACAGTTTAACATGGGGGTAATGCTGGTTCCATGATATTCTCTTAAGAACAGTTAGGAAGAAAAAGACTGGGAAAAACAATTAAGTGTCCCAATATTTAGCATGCACTTTTAAAACTTTAAGCACTCTTATGGTGGTGACAAAGATTAAATGACATGACCCTGGCATGTTTAATAGGATGGATGTATCTTATTTCTATGCATCTGGGTTTTTTTTGTTTTTTGGTTTTTTTTAAAGATTTTATTTATTTGACAGACAGAGATCACAACTAGGCAGAGAGGCAGGCAGAGAGGGAAGCAGGCTCCTCGTCAAGCAAAGAGCCGGATGCAGGGCTCGATCCCAGGACCCTGGGATCATGACCTGAGCTGAAGGCAGAGGCTTTAACCCACTGAGCCACCGAGGTGCCCCTCTATGCATCTGTTTTTGTTTTTTCCAGCTTCTGAAACAATCTTCCCTTTGTATCTTGTATGACCTAAATAATCCGTTCCTGGCATTTATTACCTAGCAAGATCTTTATTGCATCTCACTTAAAAAGAAATGTAAAAGTGAAGACCTCATCTTTTCTCCCGATGGAAACTTCATAGGCTTTTTGCAGCTCCTTCAAGCTGTTGATCTGGTTGCACAGTTGTTTTAAGTGTGCTGCATGTTTTTCTTTCTCTTTTTTCATTTCCATTCGGTGCCAGTCAATAAAATTAAGTCTCCATTTGCTTAGTTCAGATATGATGTTTGTCTGAAAAATAAATACACCAGCAATTAAGCAGTTTGTTTAACATTACTTCTTAAAATTACACCAAAATTAAGAAACATTAAAGATAATCAGAACAAGCAATCAATGTAAGAGCTATTTATAAAAATCCCTAATGAAAATGTCTTCAAGTTCAACAGCCGTGACTGTTGTTCTCAGTTCACATTCGCCATACTAGGGAAATGAATTTTTTTCCTATTTTAAGTTATTTTGTATGAAACCTTGTTGTTCTTTAAAAAAAAAAAACTTCAGGTCTCCTTCACTAGTAAACAGATACTTTGTTTATTCAAGGACTTCAATGTCCATATTAAGATGGCCCAGGGAAAGCAGAAATGTAGGCGTATGGCCGAGGCTCAGCCATAGGACTGGGAAGTTACTTAGATAGAAGTGGATAGTGGAAACCATGGGACTGATGCTTTCTTCCCCGAAATCATTTATCACAAAGGACATCTTACAACAAACTGCTGAATCTGACCGCTTTTCACCCTACTGACTGGCATAAGTAAAAATACCAAATAATTATGTTATCAAAGAAACTAGGTAACAATATGATTATCTGAACCTAGAACAAATTAAATGACTGGCAGTGGCTACTCCACTGGACTTGCACCACGATTAGAAGGATGAAACCTGTTCCACGGGGGAAAAATGGTAACAACTATACTGAAAGATTATTTCTAAAATATATAGTTTTAAGTAGTAGAGAAATATAAATGCCATAGAACTCTCATGACCATAATTTCACTGTGAATGTGAAATCAGTTGTCTCAAACTATGTTTCAGAAAAACTGTCATTTTCTGCATTATATATTAAATAGCAAAAAAAAAAAAAAAAAAAAAGAAAAGCCATTTCTGTAATACTTTGTTTTATTTAGAGGCCAATAATATCACTAAAATAATCAGATTTTATAGTCTTAGCAGTTATACACCATGGTTGCTCAAAGCAGCTATAAAATGAATACACGTTGCTAAAATATGATCTTGTGTTTCCTACAAAAGGAGACGTTTCCCTTCATCACAGCTATGATATGGTCAGGGTTCACTAGGTGTCTCTGTCACACATAGGCTGAGTCTTTAAAAACATCTAAGAAATCCAGTGGAAACCCATAGTAGGTCTTTCTACTAAAAAGTATGCTATTCAAAGTATGGGTCCTGAACTCGCAGAATCACCTGGGAGCTTGTCAGAAATGCATATTCTCAGGGCCCTGATCAAGACCTGCTGAACGACAAGCTGCTGCTTAACACGATGAGCCGTATGGATATTAAAGACTGAGAAATACAGATTTAAAACACTGGACTGATCTTCTCAGGAAACTCTTTAGTTTTTAGTTCTTTTCACAAAATCTTTTGATTCAAAGAAGACAGTGAGTAGTGGGATCACGAGCAGAACTGTTATCCTACATATTAAACAACTGTAACTGAACAAGTGTAATACCTTAAGCCCTGAACTCCAAAGATCCAGTACATTTTCCATCTTCTGAAGGTTTTCATCTGAAGTAAGAAAATCGCTCACAATGATTTCATGGACGTCTGCATGACTAGAAATAGATGCTGGTGAGGAAGAGTCACCTAAGAGGTTAGAGCTGAAAAAATCCATGACAGGGTGTGAGGGTTTCCTCGGTGACGACACTGGCGATGACCCTGTAGAAGAAGGAAAGGTATTGTGGTCAGGCTGGAGGACGGATAACCCAAATGTAAGGAGTTCTAATGGAGGGTGACATGTCAATTACTCACAGAGGTGGAATAAAATGCAGAGAAATGACCTCTCAGTGTACTTTTAAACTGCTCTTAGGCTGAAATTAATACTGTAATTTTAGTCCTGTTACTGATTCAGGACTGACAAGCATGAGATGCCTCCCCCAAAATGACCTCTGTCCCAATCAAGGATGCTTCATATATCCAGTTCCAGTGTGAATTGAAGGTATTATCATCTGCATCATATCAACATTTACTAAGTGCTTACTATGTTCCTGTAATAAAAGTGTTGTAAAGATGAGCTCTCCTAATACATGCTGCTCTGAGATACAGGCATTATTATCTCCACTTCACTGATGAGGAAACAGGTTCAGAAAGGGTTAAGCAACTAACCAAGGTCCCAGTGGTTGTATACAGGTCATTACTACTTTATGTAAAACACTGGTATGGGTTTTAACACGACTAAAATTCAACTCTCTAAGTATAAGGAGACTAGTACATACTAGTACAGATAATCAGATAATCAGTTGTAAGGCACACTGTTGGCCTTCAACATATGGGTGGAAATATGTACATATATATGCATACATATAGGTCTATATATGTATATACATAATTCCCACCCTCTGCCCCTATACATGGTGGAAGGGTGGGGGATAGAGGGATGGGTGAAAGAGCCAGAAGAACTGGCATCTCCTTTTAAAAAGCAAAAAATAGAAAAGGTTACTCTTTTATCACATGTGCATGTTGGAATTAGAGACTATTTATCATCATTTCTCACATACTTCACTTTTGTTATGAGGGTCCTAACAACCAAGATTAAAAGCACTCCCTATCTAACTTAGTGAATGAGATGAGTCAAACAAAGATAAGGCTAGTATAGAACTTGTTACTTAAAAGTAAATCAAGAATTCTTTGTGAAAGGAAAAGTCATTCCCTATTATATATTTTTACATAAACAATTTATCAACAAATGGTTTACGATAGTCAAATATGAGATACTACCTACCTATTCTGAAGAATAATCCCAAAGAATAAAAGCAGAGTGACAAAGTATATGAATGTTTTCTTTCACTAGATTTCACCAAGATCAGCACTTGTGGGAAATGCAAGAGGCTCTGCTTTTTTTTAATTTTTTTACCTTTTTAAAAAGATATTTATTTATTTATTTATTTGACAGAGAGAGAGAGAGAGAGAGAGAGATTGATCACAAGTAGGGAAAGAGGCAGGCAGAGAGAGAGGGGGAAGCAGGCTCCCTGCTGAGCAGAGAGCTCGATGCGGGGCTTGATCCCAGGATCCTGAGATCATGACCTGAGCCAAAAGCAGAGACTTAACCCAATAAGCCACCCAGGCGCCCCTTTATTTTTTATTTTTAAACATATATTCACTTTTTAAAAATAGAATCACATAAATGAAGAGCTTGAAATGTCCCCCAGCGATTACACTGCCCAAGCCTTTTATTTACAAGTGAGGAAACTAAAGGGTAAAGATATTTCTTATGCGATGGCTTAAATGGCCCATACATTATATAACATTGAGTCACAGGGCAAGGAAAATGTTCTATTTTAATTATTTTAAAACATTCTGTGTCAAAGGAAAAGTTTCAGTCTGGTGCTAGTATCCTTTTATAACCTCTGTAACACTTGCTCCTCTCTCCTTTCAACAAAGAAAAAGCAGACTTCGGGCTGAACACAACACATTCACCAGCGGTATTCAATCAAAACTTAATAATTGTGTTTTAGTTTCATTTATTTTTACCACTGTTTTCTTTTATAAAAAGGGCATATGCGAGTTTTATGCTATAATCAGCAATGGCACATACAAATTTTCCTTTTAATGAATTTAAGCGAAAAATGAATATATCTGAAGAAAAAACGCAAAAAGAACAAGTGGTATGAAGATAGGACAAAAATCATATACAAATGCCTGAATGTTGGGAAATAACGCACTGGTTCATGAAAACATTTAAATGGGCCAAACTCTCTGACATCCCAATAATTCTTCTAAAGGATTTGCCCTCTAACCTAGCAGTTTTAAGAAAGGATGCCACACACTGTAATAAATTAACCTGTTTTAATTGTAGTATTTTGGAATTTTATGAAATTATTTTAAACAGTTATTAGTTAATAAATTAGCAACAGCAACATTTAAAAATCCTGCCAGTAACTAATATGCTGATATCATTCCTCTTACTACACAAATGTTTTTCACCAAACCACACAATATCATATACTAATATAAAAAGAAGCTAAGGAAAAGTCATACCATCTGTCTTTGAATGACTTGAAATATTTAAATCACATCCTTTTCCAACTTCCATCCTTGTTTCTCTTACTACAGGGCTATTTCCTGCTGAAAATAAAATAAAAAAAAAATTTTTTTTATTAAACCAAACAACTCTCATATTAAATGCCTAAATGCACATCCCTAATTTAAGAAGGTAACAGTATCTAAGATTTTAGGACAAGCAAAATACAACATGCTGGGGAAAGAGGAACACTAAGTCAAAGAATAAGAAGAAAGAAAAAAATCTGAGTCTAGAAAACATCTTATTGTATTATCAGGAAGCTCAACTTTACCCACCAAGTATAGATGAAAGAGAATTCAGCCTATATAGCATTCAATTCATACTAAGAGACTAAGTGGAAGAATGACATTAGAAATTGGAAAAAGCTGTGCTATATTATAACACAGGTATTTCCAGGTGCCTGCCGCTCTTCACTAGTTGTAATCAAACAAAAATGACAGCGGTTCCCCCAGAACAGGGACTGCCTCACTTCCACCTTAGGAACCCTCACTCAATATATGGTGAAAAGAAAACAGGAAAACTTCACAAGGATGTCTGTGTTTGAGGCTTATGTATACTTTACCAACCTCCACATAGCCTTATACCAAGCAACAGCAATACCAAGAGGAGAAAATGGGATGATAAATTTATAAATTCTAACTAAGTCTACTTGTGAACTGGGATATCTAAATTCACTGCATGTTGTACGCTTAGATCTCAAACTCTTTGTGAAAAAGGCAGAGTATTAATGAATAAATACTATCTTGCATGCTAGAAAAGAACAGGGGTCTTGGATCCCAAGTGATGACCTTGAAAGGTTGGAGCTGGGGCAAGGAAAGGAATCCCATATTGTGTCACTGGGAAACAAGATTTTGCTGATCACCAAAAGGGTAGAGACACAGAAGGCAAACACATGGATTGATTATAAAATATTTTATGATAGTAGGCAGCACTTCGGTTTGCTCAGCAGGAACTACAGGCTGAGGTACCCAGTGTAATCAAAACATGGTCAAGATCACTAATGAAGAATGAATAAATCCCAGGGTCCGATCTCTTAAAATCAGTTAAAATTTTGGGCAGAAAATGTTCAGTGTTAGAATGTTTAGTGGTAGGTTCTGGTCCTATTTGATGATCCAGTGCAGTAGGCTGAAGACTGAAGAGCAATGGAAATTCCATGTCTACAGAGGGAGAGGAACCAAATACCAGGGCTGTAATTTCCCATAAACCCACAAGCCCGCTGACTCTGAGTAGGCTGTGTCCTGTACCTTCAAGGAGAGATCCTTGGAGTTAAGACTATTTTTGGTACCTGCCCATTGCCAGGCCCATCTTAGGAGGGCTTTCTGTGCCCTTTTAAGGAATATTTACTTAGGGTGAGCTGTTTCGGATCTTGTACTTTACTGAATACAGAATGGATAGGTGAAAGGAGGTTTATCCTCCTTTTTCCACCTTCCATTCATCTATCAGTATACTTCTTGGTATGTATTAGCTTTCAATTCTGTTCCTGACATAGTCCAAAACGGGTTCATCTTTGTGGTGATAATCCAAACAGTCTGCCGACAAAGTCCTAGCAATGGTTCATAAACTTAAGAGGTTCTGAGGGTTACCTATCTTTAATTTGGGGCCCTGGGCATTTAGTTTCCAAAATAATCCTGGTATATAACCGACTGGAGTAAGTAGAGATGCAGTATATTCCACTGAGCAACATATAATGGCTACCGTGTTGCTTTAACACTATTGTTTTTCATAAAAGTAATAGTCCAACAAAGTTCATATAAAAATCCAGCTGTCATATAAGAGGCAAGAGTAACATTAAAATGGAAAAAGTTCCCCCCAGATGATAGTGATACACAGGACTGAGAAGAATCACTGGAGAAGCATTTTTGCAATCCTAGGTCAACAGCATTAATGAGCTCATAACATCTTAAATTAAGAGATATCTTTAAAAATATACATAACCTTGATTATGAAGAATATCATCAATTATAGTAGGAACCCGCATATCTGGTACCACTTCTCCCTTAGAATGACATGGCTGTAGAGCACCTGATTCAATGTTTGGAGTCACGATAGCGTAACGAAGCAGTTCTTCATACTCTTCCTATGAGAAGCCAAGAACAAAGAATGTATTACAACAGTCACAATGGATATTCAGGCAAGGAACAATAAGGCCCAATTAAAAATGTTCTCTACTTCACTTCTCAAAATAGTATTCCCATGTCATAAGGAATGTGTACTTTCTTAAAAACAGGACAAATCCAACAAGTAAACCTACCCAGATTGCTTCCAGTGATAGGACCTTAGTACACAGATTCCTTCAGTATGTCAATTTAGCAACGGTGACACAAAGGTAACCTAAAGTAGGTGCCTGAAGCCAATCAGCAGCTCCAAGGCAGAAGAGCCCTCCCTCCAAGGCAGCTCCTTGCAGGTGGGCAGAGACACGGTTAGCCACTTGTCTGCTTTTCGGAAACCTAGTTTGAAGATGTTGCTCCCAAACACTCCACAATAGGACAGTCTAGGGATGAAAAGGAGTTGGATCGTGGCTTTCCGACAGCCACGATCCAAAAACAGCCACTCAGCAACAACCCTGAGTCTCTTTTCACAGCATGGAAAGAGTATAAGGGAAATATTGGAAGAGAACAAATACTGAAGATAAAAAAAGAATATGAATGCAAACCTGTTCCATTCTAGCAGCTGACACCTTCATGGCACATGAGAAAGGAGCGATAAAAAACAGAGGAGACAAAGTGTAGACCTTATGCAAATATTCCTTAGGTTTAAAAAAAATTAGAATTTCCTAACATAGATACTTAGCTATTTCTTTAGCCAAATCAAAAAAGGATACCTGTGAAGTAAAAAATATAGTGGAACTTAGTCTCTATTCACAAGGGATTGGTCATAATGTAACAAATATTCCTACTAAAAGGAGTCATTTCTAAGAGTCTTATGCACAGACCCAGAGAATATCTTTGTATTATAAAACTGGGGGGAAGGTTTTCAAGAATGTTAAATGTTATTATTCTAAAGGATTATTTTGTATTAATTTTTCTCCATAAGAAGTTGTTTAGCTCAGATAGAGAACTATCATCTTATTAGTCATAACTGTTTTATTATTTGGATTCACCTTCAGTTTGAAGATAACCAATGGTCAAAGCTACCTCTTCGAAGGGTCCTAGTCAATACCTGCTGAAGTGAATTAAGTGAATTTTGTCTAGTATTATATATATATATATATATTATATATATATATATATATATATATAATATTTTATTTATTTGACACACAGAGAGAGAGAGAGATCACAAGTAGGCAGAGAAGCACGCAGAGAGGGAGGGGGAAGCAGGCTCCTGCTGAGCAGAAAGCCCTATGTGGGGCTCAATCCCAGGACCCCGAGATCATGACCTGAGCTGAAGGCAGAGGCTTATTAACCCACTGAGCCACCCAGGTGCCCCTGTCTAGTATTATATTTAATAAAATCATTATGATATGATATAGGTATTCAAAAATTAGCAATCTTTACTTTTTCCCTTTGGTTTTCTATGAGTAAGAGTATTTAACTGCCCACCACACTCAAGTTTCGAGCCATGGTTGTATCACAGTTAACAAATTAAGTGTCTTGGAACTTGGAACAAATGTAACTGCACTCAGAGTTCTGTAGTTGAACTACCTTGAATACTGCATCAGTAGGCGATATCAATGCATTTCAAACTAGCTTCCAAGGAGGTGTTTCAAGGGATCCACAATGTTTTCTTCAAATTTCATTTTTAAGCTATTTAGCTCTTTTAGAAACAGTAATAAAGGGAGCATGCGCTAACAGATATACCATAAATGCTAAATTTTAACAGGCCCAAAAAAGTATAAATTCTTAAATTTTTGTGTTGGTTGGAATAAAGCTGCTTCTCCCATTGATGTACATGTCAAGGTCTTGTCAACGTGTCACGGATTAGATTGACTATAGCTCTGCACAAGTTTATTTTTTGTTTTGAATTCACATCTGTATATCTATGTTCACGTAACTTGTACAGAGGAATGCACAACTGTAACACATGTGGCCACAACAATTTCGAACCACTCAAACTCAAGCACATCTGATGGCTCCTGTCCCTCCTTAAACGAGTATTGAGCTAGCAGTGCAGTAGTAAATGACTTCAGACCATGTTACATGCTTATCATAATACAAAGAGTTTCAGCACTTATTCCAAGTTTGAGTCTTCTGGGTGCTTCTTCTGTGATTTTTTAATTTATTATATAAAGTTTGAAGAAGCGACAGATTTTGTTGGTGATTGAACACTGAATCAAAAATTTTCTATCAATCCTTTTTTATACTTTGGATCAGTTTATTTGAAGATGGGATATGCTTTTAAAAAGCTACCAATTTTTCATAATGCATATAGAAACTGAATCACTATGTTATACACCTGAGACTAACATAACACTGTGTGTCAACTATACTAAAAAAAAACCCAAAACAAAACAAAAAAGCTACCGTGTTCAACTACTTATGTTAAAAATTAGAATTTTCTTGAAACAAGATGGGACTGGGGAGGGAGACAAACTGTAAGAGACTCTTAATCTCAGGAATCAAACTGAGGGTTGCTGGAGGGGATGGGGGTAGGAAGGATGGAATGGTTGGGTCATGGACACTGGGGAGGGTATGTGCTACGGTGAGTGCTGTGAATTATGTAAGACTGATGATTCACAGACCTGTACCCCTGAAGCAAAAACTATATTAATAAATATTATATACGAATATATAAATACATGTGTGTGTATATATATATATATATATATACACACACACACATATACATGTGTATATGTTAATAAAAAATCTAAAAAAAAAGAACTAGAATTTTCTTGATATCACATATCCCAAATAACATATAGAAGCAAAAAGGTCACTTAAGCTCATCAAACTATGCTGGTCTTCTATTATCCATTAACATCAAATGTGCATTCATAAAAGCAGCTTCATTGTTTTTCCTGAGTCTGTGAGAAGTGAATGTCACAAATTTGCATTTATAACATAAATCTATACAATTATATTTCTGCTTTAGCCTTTTCCTACTGGAATTTGAAGTAAAAATGTTTTGTAAAGATGGTTTATGCTGGCAAATGTTTGAAAATTTCAAGTCTTTAGGGTAATTAAATGTAAAGAAGTGACCTGGTTTCAGTTTCAGTCTTGATTTGCATATTTAACATAGATTACTTATAAAAAGTAAATGTTAAGTCATAGCAAACACAGCTCTTTACATGTCACGGCTAAGGGCAGAAGAGAAACAGATACTCCAAAGGGAGAATCATTAGAAAGAAAATTCAATCATCAGAATTTGGGGTGTGGTATCAAACTCTGCATGGGGCCCCCCCACTCAGCAGAGGGCTTGCTTGAGATTCTCTCTCCCTCTCCTGCTACCCCCCAAAATAAATAAATCTTCAAAAAGAATCCCCCCTTCATATTGCCATTGTCAACTCCTTTGTTAGAGATGTCCTCTTCATAATAATAAACACGTCTTAATTTTAAATTTACATTTCATGACAGAAAATAACAGTCAGTATTTCACATGATCCTATCACCAAGGCAGGGGGCTCTTAATAGAGAAAAAGCAATTTAGACCATCAGAGATACATTTAATTTTTATCTTGACAAAAATAACTATAATTCTTAAAATAGATTTAAATATTATTTTTTTAATTAAATTTATTTATTTGTCAGAGAGAGAGCATGCTTACATTAAGCAGTGGGAGCAGCAGGCAGAGGGAGAAGCAGGCTCCCCATTGAGCAAGGGGCCCAAGACGGAACTTGATCCCAGGACTAAGGGACCATGACCCGAGCCAAAGGCAGACACTTAACCCACTGAGCTGTCACCCCAGCATCCCATAGATTTAAATATTCTTATCACTTATCACTGAGGCAGGAGGCTCTTATTAGAGGCTCTTATCACTGCCACTGAGGCAGGAGGCTCTTATTAGAGAAAAAGTGATTTAGACTATTACAGATACATTTAATTTTCATGTTGACAAAAATAACTAGAATTCTTTAAATAGATTTAAATATTCTTAAATTTGAAATATTCTTAAATCTTAAATTCTTAAAGATTCTGAAATCTTAAATCACATCAGTTTCCCAGTTATTACAATAAAAGGAAATACCCAAACAGTTTGATAAACTGAAGCCATACACAAGATAATCTACTGGTTTCTATAAACCTGAGTCAGTCCTAACAAAACACATAAAATTTCAAGTTCGGTAACGCCCTGCCACAGAGAAGTATAACAGTCCAGTAGCAGCTGTTTTCCTTTTATTCCTTTAAGTTACTAAAACCTCAGGGTCTGACCGGGGAAAGGCCACCCAGCAACATTTCTCAACCTCCCCTTCAGCAGGTATCAAGAGACCTGGTCTATGAGGTCCAGGTAGAAATGATGTGTACAACTTCAGGTCATGTCCTTAGAAAGGAAGCTTCTTGCTTCCTTCTCATGGGTTAGAGGTGGTGGTGAGCTAGGCACCCAATGATACAAACCTCTTCAACACCCTAGGGCATGGCAGAGCAACACAAGAAAGAGACTGGGTCCTGGGGTGACCTCAGGACTCTCTATCAGCTCTGACTTACATGAGTCTATGTATCAGCTCAGGCTTTTAAGCAATTCACTTAAGCAAATATTTGGTTCCTGTTAAAGTGGCCAAAATAACACACTATTATACTTCCCAAAGAGCCAAAATAAACTTTTGATTTTGGCTGAGAACATATAAAAATGTGGCTGTTATAGACTGAACGTCTGTGTCCTCCCCAAATTCATATATTGAAACCTGACTCCCCAGAGCAGCTATATTTGGAGATGGGGAAGCTAAAGTAATTAAGGTTACATAAGGTCCCAAGAGTGGGGCTGATATGTTAGGATTAGTGTCCTTCTAAGAAGAGAAGACAGAGAGTTCTCTCTCAGCCCATGCATGTGCACTTAAGAAAGGCCATGTTGAGGACTCAATGAGAAGGCAGCTCTCCGTAGGCGAAGAAGAGAGCCCACCAGAAACGGACCCTGCCAGACCTAGCTTTGGTACATCCAGCATTCAGAACTACAAGAAAATAAATTTCTGTTGTTTTAGCCACCCAGTCTATGGTGTTTTGTTGTGACAGCCCAAGCAAACTAATATAGTGACTATCCTGTATTTGTATTTTGAGGTCAATTAACTTTTTATTTTATTAGTAAATGTATTATTTTTTATTAAAGTATATCAATACCTAGAAACAATAAAGGGTACTTGAGGTTAATGTTTTTTTAATGTTTTGCTAACTTTGTACTTTATTATAGGTTTGTGATTACATATAATTTGAGTTGAAAACCGAGGAAGTATTTAAATTTTTGGAGAACTGAAGACATACTTTTCTTAGTTTCTTTTGGGCAAAATTTAGACCATTATATTAACTCAAAGACAAAGATTTCAGGGAAAATGGAGTATGGTATTTAAAATTACTGCTGTAGGAACGCCCGGGTGGCTCAGTGGGTTGGAGCCTCTGTCTTCGGCTTGGGTCATGATCTCAGGGTCCTGGATCAAGCCCTGCATCGGGATCTCTGCTCAGTGGCGAGCCTGCTTCCTCCTCTCTCTCTGCCTGCCTCTCTGTCTACTTGTGATCTCTGTCTGTCAAATAAATAAATAAAATCTTAAAAATAAATAAATAAAATTATTACTGTAGTTTTACTTTTGCATCCCTTCTTCCCTTTTGAACCTGGTTGAAATGTATGAGGTCAATTAACTTTTTTTTTTTAATTTTATTTTTTATAAACATATATTTTTATCCCCAGGGGTACAGGTCTGTGAATCGCCAGGTTTACACACTTCACAGCACTCACCATAGCACATACCCTCCCCAATGTCCATAACCCCACCCCCCCTCTCCCAACCCCCCTCCCCCCATCAACCCTCAGTTTGTTTTGTGAGATTAAGAGTCACTTATGGTTTGTCTCCCTCCCAATCCCATCTTGTTTCATTTACTCTTCTCCTACCCCCTTAACCCCCCATGTTGCATCTCCTCTCCCTCATATCAGGGAGATCATATGAGAGTTGTCTTTCTCTGATTGACTTATTTCGCTAAGCATGATACCCTCTAGTTCCATCCACGTCGTCGCAAATGGCAAGATTTCATTTCTTTTGATGGCTGCATAGTATTCCATTGTGTATATATACCACCTCTTCTTTATCCATTCATCTGTTGATGGACATCTAGGTTCTTTCCATAGTTTGGCTATTGTAGCCATTGCTGCTATAAACATTCGGGTGCACGCGCCCCTTCGGATCACTACGTTTGTATCTTTAGGGTAAATACCCAGCAGTGCAATTGCTGGGTCATAGGGTAGTTCTATCTTCAACATTTTGAGGAACCTCCATGCTGTTTTCCAGAGTGGTTGCACCAGCCTGCATTCCCACCAACAGTGTAGGAGGGTTCCCCTTTCTCCGCACCCTCGCCAGCATCTGTCATTTCCTGACTTGTTAATTTTAGCCATTCTGACTGGTGTGAGGTGATATCTCATTGTGGTTTTGCTTTGTATTTCCCTGATGCCGAGTGATATGGAGCACTTTTTCATGTGTCTGTTGGCCATCTGGATGTCTTCTTTGCAGAAATGTCTGTTCATGTCCTCTGCCCATTTCTTGATTGGATTATTTGTTCTTTGGGTGTTGAGTTTGCTAAGTTCTTTATAGATTTTGGACACTAGCCCTTTATCCGATATGTCATTTGCAAATATCTTCTCCCATTCTGTCAGCTGTCTTTTGGTTTTGTTAAGTGTTTCCTTTGCTGTGCAAAAGCTTTTGATCTTGATAAAATCCCAATAGTTCATTTAGGTCAATTAACTTTTTAATTGGGGGCAATTATCACTAGATTTAGCCAATTCAGCTTTGCTCAATCAGAGTTATTTTATTACAACTTCCTGCCTGATATATCAGTTCTATGTACATATTTAAAGGTATTTAAACAACTATTTTTGTTTCATTTATGTAGATATGGGGCAAATGGGCTATTTTATTTTTAAAGATTTTATTTATTTACTTCACCTCCCCCAATCTCAGACACCAGTAGCAAGCCCAAGCCTTCCTGGAGCTCAGGATGGGTAGGTCTAAAAGTTCCAACTCTCTAAACATGTGGTTGGCTCCTCAGCAACCAGCCTCTATCCTCAGGTGGGGTCCAAAAGTCACCTGGTAGTGTAACACATTATCACTCTCATTATTTAAGAAATTTCAAAGGTTTCTGACACTGTGTGCAAAAAATAGGGATGAAGACCAAAATATATTTATTATAAATCGCAATATCAAAAGTATAAATGAGTTAATCAGTTCTGTTCTAAAGGAAGTCTGGAAAAGTTAGAGATAAAAACTTCAGGAAAGCACTGTTACCTTAAAAGACAGCACTAGGTAGAAGTACATCCAAACGGAAGGCAAGGATGAAACATGTACATAACAATTCCAGACTACTTTTACCCTAATAAAAAGTCACAGCTATTTTTTCAATAGCTTCCCAATTTCTAAATCTGTAATTTCAACTAAAGGAACACATATGTTTCATAAAATATCTTCTTAAAACTTTTCTCATATTAAGTGTCAAAAACAACTTACTCTATTGAAGCATAAACGTGACATCCAGTTTTCCCCTTGCAACTGATATAACTATAAAATTCAAGCTATGTATCAGGCTCTCACACTTAAAAATCTACTCTAGAAATCCGAACCCACATTTCCAATAATAAACATTTAGAAATAAATGTAAAAGAGTTCATTAAAAAAACACACCATTTATCTGTCACCATCCAGGTCCTGCGCAGCAGAATGTGCTGAACGTTGTAGCAACAGGGATTAGAACCTCGAATAGAACACGAGGGAATCTAGGTCCCAGAACTCTGGATGGTTTGATATTATACTAATTTGCATTAAAGTGAAAGCAGCATTCAGAAGAGAGATCTATAATGAGAAAACCTTCAGAAAAAAGTTTCTTGAGATTTCCAGCTTCTCTCATTGTGCTGTTTGAATCTTTTGCATGAAAAGTGAAGAGTTCATGACTATTTTCTGAAAGGTTCAAACAATGTAAGGTATGTGTGTCCCAAAGTCTGTGAATTCTTGACATCTGATATTATTATAATTTGATATATACTATATATAAAACATAATTATAAATGTAAATGGCATGAATAAGGGAAAAATGTATTCCTAGTTTTCCCTCATATTGTCCCTTGTTTAAAATAGATAAGTCACGACAAATTTAGACATGTCTTCCTACCTGAAGATCTGAAGAGACAGAACTGCCCCGCTCAGAGTCATTCTGTAAAACGGGAAGTGAGTCTTTCTCCTCATCTGATGACATTCTACACAAACACTACAACATAATAGAAAATCACTTGATATTTTAACTAAAATAACATGTTCCTACATATACACACATCCTATTCTGTAAATAATAATCCCGTGAAATGTTAAAATCACTCAACATATTGAGCACCCACAAATAACTAAAAAAAAAAGTAAAAGACTCAATTCCCAACAGCAGTGAGTTTTTAATATAGTCAAGAAGATGACACAAATCTATGAAAGGTTAAAGAGAAATGGGAGCTTGTCAGACACATCCACAGTGGGGTCTGTTGAGAACAGACCACGATCATTGTACTTTTTTTTTTTTAAGATTTTATTATGTATTTGAGAGGGAGAGTGAACAAGAGAGAGCACATGAGGTGGGGCAGGGCGGGGGGAGCAGAAGGAGAAGCAAGAGCTTTGTGACTCCCTGCAGAGCAGGGAGCTGGATGCAGGGCTCGATCCTGGGACCCTGGGATCATGACCTGAGCTGAAGGCAGATGCTTAACCAACTGAGCCACCCAGCGTCCCATGATCAGCGTTCTTGAGCAATGTGTGGCAATCTGTGTGCTGTATGTTTTCCTGTAAGATAATCGTGCAAATGCTTTGTGCAAATGCTTTTGTGCAAATGCTTTGCTTGAGAAATTTAACATTTGGGAATATGTGCAAATGCTTTGCTTGAGAAACTTAACATTTGGGGATATTTTAAGAAAAGCAAGACTGTACAGAACAATAGATTCCTACATGCCACAGAAAAATTGTTAAAAGCCTTAACCAAAAAAATAAAATTTCTAGTAAACAAATTATTGTTTGCACTTTTAGTAAACAAATTATTTAAAGGACAAGTAGTGAGGCAGCTGGGAGGCTCAGTTGGTCAAGTGTCTGAATCTTGATTTGGGGTCAGGTCATGATCTTGGGGTCCTGGGACTGAGACCCATGTTGGGCTCTGCGCTCAGCATGGAGTCTCCTTGGAATTCTCTCTCCCTCTTTTCCCCCCTTATCCCCCTGCTCGTTTGGGTTCTCTCTCTCTCTAAAATAAATAAATAAATCTTTAAAAAAACCCATAAAGGACAAGTAGTGACTATTCAAACTATCTGAACACAGCTATACGGAAGACAATGGTGAGGAATATAAGATGAAAAGTCCTGTCCTCATGGATTATAATCTGTAGAGACAGCCAGACATACATAAAATATAAATGACTAGAGGGGCCTGGATGGCTCAGTGGGTTAAGCCTCTTCCTTCGGCTCAGGTCATGATCCCAGGGGCCTGGGATCGAGTCCTGCATCGGGCTCTCTGCTCAGCAGGGAGCCTGCTTCTCCTCATCTCTCTCTGTCTCTCTGCCTACTTGTGATCTCTCTCTCTGTCAAATCAATAAATAAAATCTTTAAAAAATATATATAAATGACTAACCCCCCCCCCAAAAAAGCTAGTACACCCTAAAACAACAGGGGTACAAAGTAGGGAGGAAAGAGTAGCTATTTTTCATGGGGTGGGATCGTGAGGGTGAAGAAGTGGAATGGAACCAGAGTAGGTTTTCACTGAAAAGATGAACCAGGTATTGAGATCTAACAGATAAAAGCTGTGAGGATGTGCTAGGCATTCGAGCAGCAGAAGCAGACAGGGGCATGGGCGTGTATGCTAGGAACATAAGTGGTTTGTAAGGCTGAAGCGAAGAGTGCAGAGCAAGGCTTGGCAAAGGATTGAACAGGCAAGGAAAGGGGCAGCCAGAACATGGAAGATCATGATCATGCCAGGTCAGAAAAATGTGTTTTTTACCTTAGAGAGGTTACTGCAATGTTTTAAACAAGTGATGACATGATTAGGCTTGTATTGTAATGTTGGCAGCTTCCAGATTTCTGGCTTGGTAATCAGACAGATAATAGTGCCACTCTCCAAGGCAAGAAATGTAGGAAGGTAAGCAGGTTGGGCAGGGGGAGGACAATGGGTTCAGTATCAGAGGAGTTGGGTATGAGGCATCTGAGACAGGAAGTGAAGCTTTAGATATGCAGGATATGGCCACAACCATTACACTATACACCAAAGACTGCCATTCACAAGGGCTACAATGTGAATGGTGCTTTCTGGAGTTAAGCAGTGAGGGAGCTCTTCCCTGGAGGTATAGGCTAGAGATAAAGTTTGAGGAATCATCAGCATAACGGGAAATACTGAACATGGGAGAGGATAAGATCACGTATGAAAAGGAGTGTCAGAAAGAGTTCTCATTCTGAGGTCCATACACCCAAATTATATGCAATATTTTTAGAATAAATGCATATGTGTATTTTTCTAGTAAGAGGATACTTAGCTTTTTTTAAAAAAATATTTATTTGTCAGAGAGAAAGAGAAATAGAAAGCACAAGCAGAGGAAGCAGCAAATAGAGAGAGAAGCAGGATTCCCACTGAGCAAGGAGCCTGATGTGGGACCTGGGACCATGACCTGAGCCAAAGGCAGCCACTTAACTGACCGAGCCACCCAGGTATCCTGAGGATCCTTAGCTTCTAATATGTGTTCAGAGGGGTCTATAACCCTAACAAAGTTAAAGGCCTATTACAGTAGTGGAAGGAGATTAAAAACTAGAAACACTAACATTTAGTGTTTCTAATTTAGCTCTTCTAAGAGAAGAGCCAGCAAAGACAGAAAAGGAAGTCAGAGTGGTAGAATTATCAGAAAGAAAAGCATCATAAAAACTTGGGGAAGGGAATGCTTAGTCAGATGCCAAAGAAAGATGAAAATTGGGGTCTCCTGAATACCGCAGTAAGGAAGTTGCAGACATTTACCTGAACAATTTCAGTGGAAGGTGAAACAGGTCTCAATCACAGCGGCCTGAAAAATAAATGAAATAAGAAAATTCAAGTAGAAAAGTCAGATACAGGGAAAAGTACAATATTAGAAAGGAAACATAGGTTGGGATTCGTTCATGGAAACTTAGCTTTATTTCATTAAGTATTACTGTGTACACGCCTGGTAAGTAAACTAACTAGCAGCATGGCTGTCTTTAGTTAAGCCAATTAGGGAGGATAAAATAAGCACACACATGCCCAGCAAGGAAGGGCTGCTTCATGGACGTCAAATCCACCACCCTGGTAACCTGGTTAATTTCTATATTCATTCACTTCTTTCAGGATGTATTCGCATGGCCTATAGACAGCAGGAGTGGAGGTGGGCTGGTGCTGATTATTCAATAAAGAAATAAGGTTGGGTCAAAATAAGGTTGAAAGGTTGGGTCAGAATTCAAAAAGAGTCTCTGAATAAGCACTGCAGCCACAAAACAACTACTGTATTTTTGGAAAATAGGACATTAAGCCTTCCATCCGCCCTGCTTTGATGCCAGCAAGGTACGACAGTTTCTTTGAAACTCTACAACCGCAGCATTTTCTTACTGTTTCTAGGTTCAGAAAGGAGAAAAATGAAGCTTGCTTTAATGGGTGGCAGATGTGAATCAGTTCACTAAATTTCCAATATTTTCTAACCCAAGATACCAGAAACCACGAGATAAGACGTTCTGGGTACTTCTCGATTGCCAGAGAAATCAAAGTACATCTTGGTAAATACCTGGCTGCTAAGGAAAGAGGGGTCCGGGAATTCAAATGTAACCCCAAGAGACAGGAAGAGTGAATTAAAGTGCAAGCTGGCAGCAGGGTGACGTCCCCGCGCTCTTCACCCATCTTAGCTGCAGGAAAGGAGAGGGGATGCGCCAACCCTGCCCCCCCGTAAGGGACTAGAAGCAGAGGACACCAGGTGTGAAGTTCTGGAAGGGCTGGGAGTTCTCTTCGATCACCTTCTTTCCCACCGTGGTTTGAATCACACTCTTAAAAAAACGTTAGCCATGGTTACTTTTCCCCTTACGTTTTAAATGACCGGAACCTATGGCGATAGGAACCGCTATACTTCAAGTACCCCTCATTCCTGACCTCTGTTCCCGGACCCTCGGAGGGAAAACGTCTGCACCTTGTGACCCGCAGAAGAGCATATAGCCCACGTCTCGGGGAAGACGCCACCGGCTCCGTACTGAGTCCCGGGAGCGGAAACCGGAGCCGAGGCACTTTCAACCCCACTCCACTCCCTCCGTCGGGGGCGCCGCTACCCACCGTCGCGGCTCTCCACAAACCCAGATGCCTGCCTCCCCTTCTCCTCGCCGCGTCGTAGCCGAAACAACAGCAGTAAAGCGGCTCCCTTGGCAGCGACCTGACAGTTTCAAACTGCAGAGAGGAATAAAAGACGGCCCTGTGCATTGGCCCCGAACTTCAGCAACCTAGGATTTGATTGGTCCCAGACTCGGGGGCGGGGCTCTGGACCGCTGCGGGGAGACGCCGGCATTAGGTTACTTAGGGAGAGCCGTGCTCCCGGCGCAGGCGTGTAACTAGGGGGCGGGGCCTCAGGGAGCCCCGCCCAGCTCCTGAGAGCTAAGTACTGCGCGTGCTCAGTTTCCGACTGCGGCTGCGGCTGCGGCTGCGACTGAGAAGGCTGTGGGAGTGCATTTGGTTAGAGCATGGCAAGCTGGGCTCTAGTCAGCCGGGGCGGTATGTTGTCAACTTTCGATAATACCCGAGGCCAGTGTGTGTGGTCCTCGTGCATAAGAATCATCTGCGTCCATAATGTCCTGCAAAAGAATCACTTGGAGGTGCTTTTTCTGACTCCCACCCCTCTCCTTGATTCCTTCCGTCTTAGAGCCAGGGAATCTGAATTTTTAACAAAGACTACCATTGATTTCGATGCAGGGTTCAGCGGACCACGATTTAAGAAACTGATGGACTAGGTTTTACTAATAACCTCAAGGGTGTCAAATTGCAAGTCGGGCCCTTCTGGCGAAGTGATTATGAACCCTGTAATAATCAGGTCATAATTATATCCTGGCTCTCTCGTCTATTCACCTTGGATAATGCTACCCACATAATAGGGCTGTAGGAAGATTAAATGAGTAAATATATCTAAAATACCTACCACACAATATCAGAACTACTAGTCTTTCAATTTGTATTGGCAACAGATGTGGTTAAAGGTATCTTAGGATCCAGGATGCAAAGGACGCGCCTCAAATCTGGAGATCAAATAATGAGATCTGGGTGAGTTTTCAGACTCCCTTTGTTACCTGGAGGGTGAGGTATCTGGTGAGGTATCTGGATTTTTTTGTTTGTTTGTTTGTTTGTTTCTGTAGATAAAAATGGCAAA